AATGAATAGTACGATTGAATTCAATGCACCAACTCCATTTTTTTCCTCCTTTGCTTAATACTTCAACTCAAAATAAAGTCCACATATATATTATAGGTTTAACTTCATATGAGAACCTACCTTATTGTGTAAACGTGAGAATTTATGTAAGCCTTTAATGTTGTCTCATCCAGCGGCCCATATTATGTGAACATTAATGCACTGGTTTAAAAAAAATAATAATAAATAAAATTGGAACTACATACCGGGGTTGTAATGGTAATTGCGTGCATTCCATATTTGTCCACTAACAAGGCGTTTGGTTGGAGGGTGGGAATTATGTGGGAAAGGAATTGTAATTCCATGGGAGTTGAATTACTGGGAATAAAGTGGGAATTTAAATTCCAGTGTTTGGTTGACAGAAATAGAATTACTGGGAATTTCAATTCCAATGTTTGGTATACATGGGAATTGAAAGGGAATAAGTAGTATAAAGTCAAAAATGTCAATTATTGTTGTTAGACATTAATTTTAGGTTAAAAAAGGAAGGGGTAATTTTGACTCATCACTATTTTTTTTCCCAGGAATTAAAATACCAAGGGGGGACATGAGATTTTAATTCTATGAAAATGGGGGAATTGCAATTCCCTCCAACCAAACTACGGAATTTAATGGCCTTTGAAATTAAGTGGGAAGAGAATTTAAAATCCCTCAAACCAAACGCCCTGTAATGGCGTGTATTCCATATTGTGTGAACATTAAGGGCGTGCATTTCATATCCATCCACTAATCTAGATAAAGAGCTCAGATTGATTTTCAAGTTCACATGTTAAGATAGGTTCTTATATGAATATAAATAAATAAATAAATAAATAAATAAATATATATATATATATATATATATATATATATATATATATATATATATATATATATATATATATATATATATGTTCAAGTGAGAGAATGAATCTCAACTTGATAACATAAATGTTATTACACTACATAGTAGTGGTCTCACACACACACATATATATATACACACAATACTTATATAGTTATATAGTACCTTTCAAATTATAAGATTACTATTCTTTCTATTTTTAAATCTTTAATTTGATAAATAAAATTTTTACGCGTAATATTGTTAAAAGAAAAAAAGAAAAAAAAAACAATAAAACAGTGTTTAGCCATGTGAATGTTTACCTTTGTTATTAGTTTCACACTGGAAGCATGTGGAAATGTGAAATACGATGAAAAAGGGTCAAACAATTCTATTAAACAATGTTCACAAAATAAATAGAAAAAAAAAAATTGTTGACCTTTGAAAAATACGTTAAATTTTTTTTTTTTTTAAACAACATCAATAAAGTCAAGCTTTTTTGTTGGTAGAAATTTCCAGTTTACCGTAACAACTACGAGACGCTTTAATTAAAATCTCATTAATTTGAATCGTTCACTTATGGACAACTTAAATTAATTATTTATTAACCATATAAACACATTCAAATAGTTGATACAAATATTTTAGTTACTAAAAAAAATGATTTAAAAATAAAATAAAAAAGCGCTTTTAAGCTGGATGCCTTGCTTCGACGGTTAAAAGAAAAGAAAAAACGCCGCAATATGAAAATGGAGCAACGTTATTGGTCGGAGGTTAGTCAGCGGTGATGGCGCGTTGAGTGAGGCTCATGTGTTTTCATGTGGACGGCTTTATCGGTCCGAAGCAAGCGCCGCCCCGGAGTCTGCCCTAGCCGTCAAGCCCTCTCTCCTTCTGCCACGTGCCCCAATCTCTGCTCAACTACAGTGGTCTATTCCACTTTGTTTAAACAAAAAGATGACTTGTAAAAGTACACTTAGGCGGCAAAGGGATTCATTAATAAAGTAATTAAATACAACTTAAAAATTGTTCCCTTCAGATTATTTATTTGTTTTAATCATTTGTTATGAATCTCTGAAATATTTTAATTAGTACGCTATAATAGTTTAAATCTGATTGCATTATACTCAGAATATTATCTCTTCTATGATCAATTTAATCAAAAAGGAAATAAGAATAATAATAAGAGTAAATACCTAAAATGGTCCCTCGACTATAGCTAAATTCACAAATTGATCATTGACTTTCAATTTTAACCAATTAAGTCCTTAACTTTGTAATTTTAACACGATTTGGTCCTCCGTCTATTTGACCGTTTGTTGACTGTGATTTTTGAGGATATATATGTAATTTCATGGTCCATCATCGATTTTTTAAGGTTTCGGTTGCATTTTCAGATCGCACTGTTACATTTGAATCCACCGCCGAAAGCAATCTGCCAAATCCTGTCGCATTTCTTCATCCTCCCTTTTGGATTCAATGTAGTTGAGTTCGTACCAGAGTGAAGAAGACAACGTGTTTCCGAACCGGTGCAACGTCATCCTGGAGGCCTCCATGTGCTCCGGTGAGAGCTGCGGGTATTTCTGGAGATCGTCGATGACGGCGCGGGCGTCGGTGTTAATGCAGAAGTGTTTGAAGGACCAAATCGTGTTAAAATTACAAAGTTAAGGACTTAATTGGTTAAAATTGAAAGTTGAGGACTAATTTGTGAATTTAGATATAGTTGAGGGATCATTTTGGGTATTTACTCTAATAATAAGTTATGCAAATACAATGCACCAACATGTTCTCCATTCATTTTTTTTTTTTTCCATTCAGCTCACAAATCATACACGAGAGGTAAATCGCAAGAATCACTCAGCTCACAAATTATACACGAGAAGTAAATCATACTAGCAAATTTGTGCATTGAGCTCAGCTGAGAAAGTATTAGCAAATGACAATAATCAAATTCATAACATTTAAATTCAAAAGTCATGCTCTATCCACTCAAGCAACACACATTGACTCTTTAAATTAATGAATTGCATACTTCTTTTTTGGTCATAAGCGAGGAAGAAACTCCAACAAAACTCTTAACCTGACTTGTCTCACATGCAAGGATTCGTGAAACAGTCTCATACAAATTTTTACATATTAACTCTAATTAGTCAATTGCCATTTAGTAAAAGTCAAGATTGTCTCTGTCAAAGTTGGGTATAATACTAATATAATAGCACTATTATTAGACTTTATTAGTTTAATAATATAATATTATATATGTTATTCGTATATATTAGACTTTAGGAGTATATTTCACTATAAACCTTTTGATTATACAAATAATTAGTTGTTACAACTTAATTAGTTAAAGAATAAAGCAAACTCTGCTTCTAGAATTGTTCTAAACACTTAACAAATTTTTGTTAACGACTCGCACTCAAATTTACCATTTAACGCACGAAATTAGGTGTGTGTGTATATATATATAGAGAGAGAAAGGGTTTAGGTGATAATGGAGTAATAGAATTATAATATCCCACGTAAAAAGTAAATGCTAAGTCTAACAATTGTATTAGACATTTTTCGGACTACGCAGAGATTCGAACCTATGACTTTCGGACTGTTTCTGATTTCAAATTGAAGCATGTGCTTTATCTCAACTAAAAACATAAGCTAATAGTTGGACTGCACATTTATGTTTATATATTATATATATATGCTCAACAAATTTTATCCATTTATTTGGGTAGACCAATGGTTTAAGTGTAGCTGAAAAATAAGAAGAAAAATGGGCATGGTAAGTGTTAAAAATATTACAAACTTAAAAATTTGCAATAATTACAAAATTGAGTTAGGGTGTTTGGTAAATAGTAGATAACTAATAGTTGATTAAGTTAATATGTTTGATTAGTTGATAGCATTAGCTGATTGTAGAAAGATATTTGGTAAATTAACGGTTAGTCGCTAGCTGATTACATGCAAAAACTTCCTGCTTTTCAAATTTTAGCGCTTTTGAACAATAAGCTGTTACAAATAGAAAAAAATATTTTCTGAAAATAATTTTTAAAAAAAAATATTTTCAATTATCCAACCAAGCTTTTAGTTGAAAACAATGTTACATTGTTTGATCTATAGTTTATTATCATTCAAAAGTTGGGACACTAGAATAAGGAGATCGAGATGAAGTATGAATGGTTGGATGAGGACAATATGAGGTGGGAATAGAGTTAATAATAGACTGTACTTAATATGAAGTTAATGGAAAAGAGTTCGATCCAATAGGTGGGAATGGAGTAATATTGAGGTAATGTAAGGTACTATAAGGAGTGGTGTAGGCGTGATTGATAAGGAGCAATATTGTGAATTGAATTGCATTAGCAACAAACAATATATATAAGTCTAACTTATGATTATTCCTAACATTTTGGTGATTGATCTTTCTAAGTTACTAATTGTAATATTACTTGGGGTTTAATGGTTCATCGAATGTGAGTTTTAATAGAAGTGCAAGAAAACTACTCTATATAATAATATTATTTTTGGGTTAGTATAACATCATATCATAATATCACATTTGGTATTACTTTTATGTCAAACAAAATTTAAACAATCATTTAATTATATCCCTTTTGAGAAAAATGGTAAAATCAAATTCATTATTAAAATGATGGTGATAATTGAGAATTACTCACACTAAACTTTAATTCTTCCAAATGAAATTTTAATTAAAACACCGAACCGGCCTTCATTTTGCCAAATTGGGAGAAAAAGGCAATTGGAGTGGATATCGTTAAATAGACCTTATATATTGTTCGTACAATTTATTTTTAGTACAACTGATTCTGTTACAATGTAGTATATGTTTATAGCTATTTTTTCAACCTACTGAAGCACAAAGAGTCAATATTGTCCCCACTAGAACTAAAACCCATGACTGCCACTTCATGCTACTAGATCATAAAGTCATTGGCACTCATATAAACAATTTAATTAATTTAATTAAGGAGTAATGCTTAATTTTTCTCATAGTTTATAATAAGAGATTTCAATTTTTTTTTTTTTAAAGGTAGACTTGTGGCCGTCGTAGGACAATACCGAGAAAGATTCTTTGTATAAAGACAACACTAATGGAATAAAGACACCCATTCAAAACATAGCTGCATTTCTAGGCATACATATACATATATATATATACACACACTCTCTCTTTCTCCCAACCATTCTACAATTCACTCAACCTTCCGCCATACCCACACCTTTAAAAACCTCAAACTTCTCCCATGGAGTGGATTAGAGGTCCCACCATAGGCCGGGGCTCCTCCGCCACAGTTTCCCTCGCCACCGCCGCCGGGGCCTCCGGCCACCACTTCGCCGTTAAGTCCGCCCACTTATCTTCTTCCGGTATGTTGCAGAGGGAGAAGGATATACTTTCCCAGTTCGATTCTCCCTACGTTGTCAAGTGCTTAGGCTGTGACATTTCCTGTGAGCACAACAATGCTTTGTACAATCTTTTCTTGGAGTATGTTCCCGGCGGCACTCTCTCCGATCTGGCGAAACGCGGTCGTTTCAGCGAGCCCATGATCCAATTCTACGCCCACCAAATCTTGATGGGGATTGGTTTTCTTCATTCAATGGGTTTTGTGCACTGTGATATAAAGGGTCAGAATATCTTGGTGAGCGAGGATTGTAGCGCCGTTAAAATTGCGGATTTGGGGTGCGGAAAGTTCTTGGAAAACGGGGAAGCTTCTTCGAGTTCTGCATTTTCCGGTACACCGGCGTTCATGGCGCCGGAGGTGGCTAAAGGGGAGGAGCAGGGGTTTCCGGCGGACATTTGGGCTTTTGGGTGCACGGTGATTGAAATGGCCACCGGCTCTGCTCCTTGGCAGGACATGAACGACCCTGTTTCTGCCCTGTACAGAATCGCCAATTCCGGCGACGTCCCGGAGTTCCCGAGGTGGTTTTCCGACGACGCTAAGGAATTCCTCGGAAAGTGCTTGGACAGAGACGCTAAACGCCGCTGGACGGCGGCGGAGCTTCTTCAACATCCGTTTTTGCAGAGTATAAGCTCAAACTCCGTCACATTTAAAGAATTCGTCAGAAATTCTCCGACGAGTGTGATGGACCAAGCGGTTTGGAATTCCATCGAGATGTCACAACCTTCGTGTAATTCAACGGCCACGGCCGGTTTTCCGGCGAACCGGATCGGACGCCTGATTATTCAGGCCGGCGAAAGACTACCGGACTGGGAAGAGGACGGCGGTTGGGTGACAGTTAGAGGCAACGAAGAAGATGAATCAACCGATTCGGAACCAATTTTGATTTCAATTCTTTGTCCAGAAGATCTCGAGAGCTCAATTGTTAATGAAGCTCCGTCATTTGATTCTTCTGATGATGAGATTAGCGTTAATGATAGGGTTAATCCTAGGACAAACCTTGATTTGTCCTGTCACAATTTTACAGATGCTTTTGTATCATGGATCCAAGATTTTGATGACAACATATTAAAAACTTCATTTTCTTCTAAAGCTCTGATTCTTTTCACACCCATCCGCCCCAAATACCAGGTGTACAATGTTGTTTTACACCATAGATTCTTTTGTATCTTGCTTTATTTACAAGCTACAAATTTCACAATTCTTTTAAAAGAACTAAACTTTTCTCACTTAAATCACACGTTTTTAGTTTTAGATATTAAATTTAATTATAACCATTCTAGATTGAAACAAGGTCGTCACTTGATATTAGTATGAGTTTGAATTACTTAAACATGAGATCAGAAGTTTAAATATATATATATATATATATATATATATATATATATATATATATATATATATATATATATGTAATATGTGTATACATCAATGCTCTTCATAGAGAGAGTTGTCCTTATACATGACTGAAACTTGACTAGATTAGTCTCATATCGTGAAATCGAATACAATATATGTATATGTGGCAATACCTTTTATTTAGAGAATCGTCTTTATATATGTCTAAAACCTGACTAGATTAGTCTCATTTCGTGAAATATAGTACGATATATGTGTATGCAGTAATGCCCTTGATTGAGAGAGCTGTCTTTATATATGTTTAAAACATGACTAGATTAGTCTCATCCCGGCCGTAAAATGCAGCACGATATGTGTATGCAGTAGTGCTCTTCATTGAGAGAGTTGTCTTTATATACGTTTGAAGTTTGACTAGATTAGTCTCGTCCGGTGAAAAAAAAAAGGTTTAAAGAGAGGAGGGAGGAGTTGACTTTGTGTTTGGCGTAGGAGGAAAGGAGTTTGGGTCGGCAGACTTGAACTAGTCAGGATTGCAAGTCAATGCTTTGTTTTTATCGTTTGTGTTTGTACGTGTGTGAACACAAAAGACTTCTTTCATACTTTAATGTTGAAGAGTGGGGAAGTCAGCGCTTTGTAGCCAGCAACTCCATTTCATCATTCATGGTTTGAAATTTGACACAAACCAAAAACAAAAATATTAAAAAAAAAGTTTGGTGAATTTGAAATGGTTTTAATGAAGTCAGCGCCCAATTATGTATCCTAATCTTGTTAATAAATACCACTTTTGAATTTGGCAAAAGGCTTTGGCTTTTGGAGTTGTTGCAAAACCAGGCTGCAGTCCCACTTGCCAATCCATTTCTAGAAGAGCCAAGTGGTTGGGTCAATCAGTTGCCAGAAAAGTTTAGATAAATAATCACTATTTTATCTGTGTATAACTTTACTTTATTCATTTCTAAATTTTTTTGGGATCAGATTGGATAAGTCAATATCGTATAAAAAGTTGAGTACAATTTTAACATGTGTAACCAATCTCTTTTAATTTTTTTTAGGTAGAAACCCCTTATTTGTACCCTTTGCATGCATTATATTGACACTAAAGCAAGACTTTAGAATGATCGATCGAACCAACTGAGCTAGTTACGCGGAAACTAATCTCTTTACATTTGAACAATAAGGTGTTAGTAATTTGCAACTTTACTATACTACTCTTTACTCTAATTGGTTTAATTTCTATTGGAGTAGACAAATAGTGTCACATACAAAAAGTAATTTAAACCTTTTTTTCTTTCCTGTTATGATCAATTTCAAATAACGTGATTGTGGGTCAAATGTACAAAACTTTGTTAATTCTGATTGTACGATTAGCAGACCACCGGGGCACTTTGGAAAGAAGCTTTCTCACTTTAAATTCACACAATAACCTAATGATAAGACTTGAAGGCAATTAGGTGAATATGTGTTGGCATGAATGGATGGGAGAATATTATTGAAGCAGTAAAATTTGGGGAAAATGGCATAATAATTATATTGTTGTGTTGGAAGATGAGTAACAGGAATGATGGGTGTTGTTGGGTAAATGATGAAGAAACAGTTGACTATGTGCTCATGGCGTGGATGCTGTCCTCGCCTTGCTTCAACACAAAAGATCATATTATATAATGCACTCTCATCCCTAAATTTGGTTGGGTATTAAAAACAAATATACCAAAATGATATTGATTCGAATAAAAGGGGTTTAAGTTGTTTAAATACGGGGTTTAAGTGGTGGTTGATGTCTTGACGAATCATGTGGATGGTCCGAGCGTGGGTTGGAATGAGATATTTGAACCTCCGATCCGGGATATGTTATTGAAGCTTTAATAGATGATGCAGCTGGAATCCCCACTAAAGGATGCTAGTTTTAGTCACCAGACTTGTCTCTCCTCCTTAACCCAAAATATGGGGTTAGAAGTTCAAACTCATATGTCACTTAAATGGAAGAAAATTAGTCTTATTAAAACTCGTGGTGGGCTGGTCTGGGCCAACATAATTATAAAACTCATAATCCAACCTAACTAGTCTAAAATTTATTTTTAAAAAATAATTTTTTTTTATTTTCAATTTTCTTAATTCAGAATTATTATATTTATTTATTTAAAATAATTAATATTTTAATAAAAATAACTTTGTAATAAATTTTTGTTTATATTTTAAAAATGAACCCAAAAAATAAAATGTTATCTTTTAGCAACCATAAAAAAAATTCACAAACATATCCTACAACTAGAATTAAGGTTTAAGAATATAATATGATTGTGTTGCACATTCCCATTACAAGTTAAGCTAGCTAGCAAAAAGAAGAATATATAGTGGAGAATGAAAGTCGACCACTTTTAGTGGCACTATATATGTATGATGTATATATGAATTGGAATCCTTGAATTCTATCATTATGTTGTGGTGAAAATTGTGACACCGCCGTCCCATCCTCAGCTCCTATGACTTCACCCATGACAACATCGTCCGACCAAACCTACCTATTGCGCATGCAATTATTAGACTATTCACGTTAGAATCTTCATTCCCATCCAGGATATATATTGAATTGCCATGGGATTAGATGGTCACCCACTGCACAATTTCATGGCTATCCTTTTTTGCTCAACCATTTTCTAGGGTTTACATGACACCCTTTATTATTTTTGCAATTATATATGAACACTAGCTAAGATATTTAACGTAAATATCTTAGCTTCATGCAAATTAAACTTTTACGTCTAAAGTAATAGGTTGGAATTGATCATGAAAAATGATATTATTTTGGGCTGCCCGACTGGGCACTAGCTTCTTTGTTTTTCTGGTGGGGTCCTATATTCCTGCAAGAATCAAGGATCTCATGCAAGAACCTTGAACACTCTCTTTCATATTTCTCTTTCCCACACCCAAACTTTAAACCTGCAAAAACATTCTAAAATTCACTATTGTGGGTGCTCTAATTACTCTTAGAATAAAAAATCAACAAAAGAAAATTATGTTAAATTTTTTAAAGATTCTTTGAATGGACACATTTTGTTCCTGAAAATTGAAACTTAATTATTTGGTGTGTGTTGAGATGAGAATTCAAAATTCAATTGGGAAAGTCAATAAAAAATAATACAAAATTTGTGTTGTGTACTGTCTTATTAAAAACAATCTTCTAATGCAATTGAATAGACTCGATCTCAAGCGTTGCCGCTTCTCCAAGTTAACACAACTTATCGAATTTCATACACCTACAAAATGCAGTGTATATCCTTTATATGCTTTAATTTGCTCCGACTTAGAAGACCCAAAAAAAAAAAAAAAAAAAATCCCATACAATATATATAAACTAGATTTGAAGTTTGACTAAAAAGATTAAATATGACAAAAAAATTAAAAGTGGTGCATTGAAAGCAGCAACAAAACAAAGACATAATGAGTTAATGTAGGCATGGAGAATTAAGATTGAAGTAGCATGCAAATGGTATGGCATGCATGATATGATACAAAAACATGGCGAAAGTAAGATTCTTGCATGCTGCATATAGATTATGAACATCTTTTCATGCAAAAAATATCAACGCTGCAATCAAGGTGAGCCCAGGCCAGGCCATCAATCCATAGTCCACAAACATATATAACCTCTGAATCTTTCTTTTAACTGCAGTGTATCTTTTCCTTGGATTCATCTACTTGGCAAATCCCTCCTTTTCTGTCAACACAAACTTGTCAGAAAACATTTTTCTAAAGCAAGTCAAATAAATCAAAAAGTGTTTATTTAAACTTATTAAAATATTTATTTAAATCGCTTAAACAAAAAAATTTAATTGAAGTATGTGAATAGCTTCAATTAGAGCATGGAAATGAGGGAACTTATGATTAGAGTGGCACAATGGGTATATATGAATATTGTGATTGACTAGTGGTTCAAGTTAGGCTATATTATATTCCTAGCTAGTCAAGTAGAAAAGGTCCACCTAACAAGTAATTAACGTGTTGCATCCTCATTGGTGAATAGGGTCCCCAAATTTCCTTTTTATGATTCATGGCATGTTAGGTACTCATGAATCTTACCTGGTGGGGTTATAAATTATTTTCTTTCATATTTTATTCAACTATGATTCCAAAAATGTGTCCTACTACTGAATATAGAAGGATGGTATAAAAATTACGGAGTTCATGGTTAAGAGATTACCTACCACTTATGGTTTTGCTCTAGATAGATTGTCTTGTAAAAGTAGATACTTATTTTTTTTTTTTTAGTCTAATTATGAATTTTCTTAGTCTATTAATTAGAATCACGTATTAATACTCATTTTGTTCGTATAAGGTAAGATTTAAAAAATGACCAAGTACATTCTATTTGAAATCATGACCTCTGTTTAAGCTGGTCATCTCATTCATCTATTCATATCCTCAATGATAGGTAGACTACATAGCTACTCACTAGGAGCCATCTATTGACATTTTGGTTTGAGTCGGCAGGTAATCAAGTTAGTTTATTTCCTTGTGATTCTTTACCAACTAAGATTATAATACGTTGCACACCTTCTGATGAGTGCTGCGAGTAAAAAAAAAAAAAAAAAAAAAAAAAAAAAAAAAAAAAGAGGATAGGTAGACACCTAAATATCACATCAGTTATATCAATTCTTACATATCTTCCTCTCTGCATTCTCACTTTGTCCTTCACTCCCTCCAACAACGTTTTTACGAGTATTTGAAAGTAAATTAAAAATATTAGTAAATGCTCCGTAACTTTTTTCTTTTACTTACTGCTTGTTGGTTTGATAACTCTCAACAATTCTTTAAAATTGTAAACTCCCATATTTTATCTACCGCAATATAAGCTAAATCCACAAAAAGAAAATTACTAAAATTTATTTTCTTAATTGTAAATATTATAAACTCAAAATGCTTGTATATTGTAACCGAAGAGGAATCCAACTTTAAAGAAAAATGAATGGTAGGGAATTGCTTAGAATTGAGAAGACACAAAACTATAAATTCAAATATATTTAATATAATATTTTCCGTTAAATATGACAGATTTCGTTAAAATTGACCACTACTTTGAAGATAATTCTTTTTTTAAAAAAAATGAAATATGTAATAATTCAATAGCCAAGCCTACAAGAACATAATTAAAGGAATAAAATCAATACTTTCCCTATTAAGTATTTTGTCATTTTCATTAGTATCTTAAAGAGTAGCTACTCCTATCAATACTCGGTTTTGTTTCCGCAAGAGACAATTTAATCTTTTTATTAATTATTCATTTACCGTTCCAAAACGAATTAAGACAAATATTTTCCAATTAAATCTTCCATTATTTTTGGACTGTTAATGCCAGTTTGTCTATGTTGCTGAATTCTTCAAAATAAGGTTTTCTGTGAAAAGTTTCAAGTGGAATTAGGAGACAAAGCATTTCGAATGGTGATGTGCTTTGTGTATTCAATCAACAAGAGAAATCATAGAAAACAGTAACTTGCAATGTGCAAGTTGCGCAGCCAATAATAATAATAAGAATAATAATATAAATTTAAAAAAAAAAAATTGGAGAAGAATTTTGCAGAGAAGCATAAATAAAATATAAATAAAACACAAATGAAATTGGTATATTTCAGAAGAACGCAGGCAACGCATTCTCCAGCGTAACAAAAGCAATAGAGCCCCTGCATGACAGCGGCTAGAAATTTGTTAAAAAAACAAGGGGGCTCAGTCCATGTGTGTTCTAGCCGCAACCCATAATTTACGATCAACGCAATAATTATGAAACCCTACAAAACTTTGGAATCAGTACATTTATTCTTCTTGCTCAAGATTTGAGTAAAATACCAACTCAAAATACCAACTCAGGAATATACGTAATCAAACCAAGCTCCGAAATCATATGTCAAGGAGCAAGCGGCGAGGATCTTCAACCACATCTTTAATCCTTCTCAAAAAGAACACTGCCTCTCTTCCATCAATCAGCCTATGATCGTAAGTCAAGGCAATGTACATCATTGGTCTAGAAACAATGTTGCCTCCGACGACCATTGGACGGTTCACAATTGAGTGCATGCCCAGGATGGCAGACTACAATCAACAACATTAGTAAGTCTTAATGTGTATCAGATGGAGATTGGTCATATAAGCAATACTCTATGAGAATGCACATACCTGAGGCGGATTGATGATGGGGGTACTCAGAAGACTTCCATAAACACCACCATTTGATATCGTGAATGATCCGCCAGCCATCTCATCAATAGATATACTTCCGTCATTAGCCTTTTTAGCCAGTGCATTAATTGTCTTTTCTATATCAGCAAAGTTCATCTTCTCAGCATCGCGGATAACTGGGACAACAAGGCCCTGAGGCAAGAGGAAGAAAAATGGGCTTAAGAGGTAATATTTCGGGATCCTTTCTTACTCTAGTAATTATGAAAACCTCCAAAAGCAACTCATCTCTTGTGAAGTTGACAGGAAATAAAGACAATGAAAATTGCAAATGAAAGTGTTGTAGCAGAGAAATATTCACATGCCTTTGGGGTGCCAACAGCTATACTGATGTCTATGTAGTCTCTATATATAATGTCATCACCATCAATCACTGCATTAACTATTGGCTGATTCTGGAGTGCACTAACTGCAGCCTGAAATGTGTATAAAATATTTAGATATTAGGAGTGGAACTAAAAGGTCCAATATATATATGAATCAAGGTGAAGCCGTTTGTGTACTTTAATAAACCCAGACATAAGACCTAGCTTCACCCCATGCTTTTCAACAAAAGCATCCTTGTATTCAGAACGGAGTTTCATCAAATTAGTCCTGCAAATGAGCAACAGTCAAGAAAGGATCATAAACAGAGCAGGACTAACATTTTACAATTTGCAGAACATGCAATTGCATTATTGGTTGAATAAAATACTTCCATAACCAAAGATCCATCTAAGACCATAAAACTCTAGTCACAGTTCAGTTGGTCTTGAAAAACAGGCATATAAAAAAGACTGACATAATTTCCAGCCACTAAAAGATATGGTTCAACTTACATATCAACTTCATTGAAAGTTGTCAACAATGCAAATGTGTTCTGTGAGTCCTTCAAACGAGTGGCAACTCTTTTTCTGAGCCTGGTCATAGGAACCTGCCCATTGCAATATAATTGAAACTTGGGACTCAAATAAACGGATAGGTTAAAACAATTTTAAAAAGCATGGAAAGAAAAAATGAAGATGTAAGACTAACCCGTCTTTCTCTTTCTTTAGGAGGAAGCTGAGGTTCTGTAGCAGAGCGTTTGGGGGAAGGAGCTTTAGTTTCCTTGGGAATTTCCTTGACAGGAGGAGCTTCAACTTTCGGCTTGGGTTTCTCTTTCTGTTCATCAATTGAAGATGGCTGTGGGGTATCTTTTCCGGATGGCTTCTCAGATGGAGCCACATGATCCACACCTCCACTAGATTTTGAAATGATAGCAACCTTGGTACCTGGTTCCACAGTATCCCCTTCCTTGACTACATACTAATTAAATAAGAAAAAGGAAAACAAATCAGGACTGACAAATTCCAGAACTGGCAACATCATAAGGTTAATGTTTAAAGCAAGTAAATCATAATGAACTTGGAAATAAACACATATGTAAGTTGAATTCTACCTCCTGTATTACACCGGCTTCAGGACTGGTAACATCAATTGTTACCTGAATGATACAAATGGTCAGAATTTAAGCTAATACAGAAAAGTCAAATAGCTTGAAAAAACTAATAAATCATACAGTTAAGCAAGTACCTTATCTGTTTCAACCTGAGCAATTGCCTCATCAACTTCTACTCTATCACCGGGTTCTGTTCATAAAGAATGAGAGAGGAAATAGAAGCAACTGGTAAACATATGAGAAGCATCAATTTGAGTAAAGCTGGAAAACAATCATGGTAAGAAGCAAACTTACTCTTCAAGAATGTAGCAAGTGTGCCATCAGTTATGGATTCACCCATATGTGGAACAACAGCATCAACCAGATCAGCTTAAGCACAAGTATAGACAAAAAGGAAGATTAAAAATTAGAAACTGCCTAGCAAAAAATATGGATACAACTATGCCATAAGGACTATATCATCAATTTAACTCAATACAGCAAGGTAACAGAATACTATTACAAAGTATCATTTATTCCTACTCTCAAATTATATCTGATTCATCAAACTTCATAACATTTGAACAATTGAACAATGAACACCCGTGACACTTGTCACATAGGTACTGGCTTCATCTATGGCATAAGGGCTGTATCTTCAATTTGAGCTCCAAACAGCAAGGTAAGAGAATACTATTACAAAGTATCATTTATTCCTACTCTCAAATTATCAAACAAAATTCATCAGATTCATCAAACTTTATAACATTTGAACAATTGAACAATGAACACCTGTGACACTTGTCACATAGATAGGTCCTAACAAACAAGACAGATACTGGCCAGTCTTTTAGGTTGCCAGGCATGCAGCTTTAGAAAAGTAAATGTAAGCAATGATGCCAGAAAGAGGTAAATATCTCATTGCTTCGGAATGCATTTCTTCCTTACTACAAAACTTGGAACCCAGTCCAACAGAAATGAGAAGAGGTAGAAAGTGAGAAGAAAAACATAGTGAAAATAATATAAAAAGGAAACAGGAAAAGGGGGAAAAGATGCAACCATCTGTACATGGTCTTAGCGGACAAAAAGATTGGAAACCATCAAATAAAAACATTTTACATTGATGTCAACTTACAAGTGGAGATAACAGAAAAGACTTATGTGCTAAATAAGATATCATACCTCCACTTGAACAAAATGCTCTATTCCAAATCTGTAGTGTTACACCTGGATGAAGATTAGATATAGCTCCCCTGAACGCAACAGAGAGAATCAGACGAACTGAAGGAAAAATCTTCTAAATATGACCCATTTATGATTATATCTTGTTATTTGGCTAAGAAATGAAGAAGTCTAGGTTGGGCTAAGCATCAGATATATTTCAATGGATAGATCAAATTGAGCATATGCTGTTTAGTTTTTAGATAATGTGGAGTATTTGTTTAGAATTTGTACAATGATTCAAGTACAAATTGTATAAACTGTTATAAATTATTTTTTTATTTAAAAAAAAAAATGAAATTAGACCACTGACCTTTGTGCTCGCAAATTCATTGTGTTCCCTGTACCAGTTAAACATTTTGGAATTAGCTAACCACAAGTTTAATATAGTGGGGTGTGTGTTCACTTAACAAAATTAATGTACTGGGAAGTGTGCATGTACTAAGCTTTAAAGAAGTTGCAACATAAAAGGGAAAGAATTTACCTGGTAAATTGAGGTGGCAGAAATTTCGAGCTTGACCACATCCTATTGGATGAATTAATATCTGTTCATATTTATGAATATTAGCTTCTTCCAAATAGTCAATCAAAACTTAGTACCGTCAATAGCTCCAACAACACATCCAGTTTTTGCAGATAATAACATGCCAGAAAGAAATGTTAAGGAGAACATTTTTTGTTCTAATACAGTACTTGTTCAAAGGTCTAATTGGTTCTATACTTCTATCATACACTTATACTATAGCTTCTGAAGAATGTCTTTACTCAGAAAAATAATGCTTGAGTGTACAAATGTACAACAATACATTAAGAAACATTTAAACGTAACACTGATCTTGCCATAGAAACACACTTCTGTAATAGTTAGAATTTCTTAGGAAATTCACAGGTGAAATTTTGTATGGTCATGTAAGTTTAAGGTAATAAATACCAAGTGCTTCAAGTGACTCTGCAGTTGAAATTTATATCACTAAACACTCCAAAATTTATACTTTCAAGCTCAATCCAAATACACTACGTCAAGCACGTACATAAAAATCAAATTCTTTCATCCAAATAAATCAACAATATAAAAATTTCTGTTTCGTATTGAAATCCAAATTCATCAAACACATATGGCCAAAAATAATTAAATGTGCACATACAATAGCTTTAAAATGGTTTAACATCCCAATAAGAACTTAACGAACCACTCCACACCTTCAACCACTAAACAGAATAATTTTTTTAAAAAAATAGTTTTCACCTCTTCAGCCACAACGGAGCAAGCTCTTGGGGTCAATAATCCAGGTCGAACTGTATGCAGCGATTTTCCTAATGCCTGCTCAAATAATAAATAATAATAATAATAATAATAATAATAATAATAATAATAATAATAATAATAATAATAATAATCACTCTCCAAAACAAAGAGCTAATCATACATAAAACACATGCGCATACATATGTATAATATACGTACCGAAGCAGATGAGGCGCTGGAAGCGACTTTACGCCGTAAAACGCCCAACATCGCGGCGCAGATCTCTTATCACAGCTAAATCAATCCAAAAATAATGATAATAAAATCAGGCAATTTTCATAAACTCAACATACATGAATATCTGTAAACACATAATAGATATAGCCAGCAGAAATGGAATATGTATTGATGTGAATAAATCAGATCTCAAATAACGTTCTAGAAAGCAGCTTTGACCTGATTGCTCTTCAATGGAGAAGATCAGAGTGGGGATACGGTTCGGAGAGCCGCCGGGAGATTGAATGTAAATAAAAACAAAGTCGCCGAAGAATTTTCGTCAATACTTCTCTAACCTTCTTTTTTTTTTTTTTTTTTTCCTTATTTAACTATTTAGAAACACCGATTAGCTGGGGCTGTCGCAAAAAAAGGGTAAAAGTTTCCTCACGACGTCGTTTAGATGTACCATGTCAGTTGTAAGAGTAAATGCCGTTCAATGCTCATTAACTCGTTAACACTTTGCTTAATAATTATTACTCCGTATATAAATAGAAACATGGAAAATTGTAATTTATGTCTTTTCATAATATGTCAATTATTAATGTCATTTCTGACTTATTAGTGGTGTAATATCGTTCTTCAATTTTCAAAATAATATATTGTCCATCGCGTATCGTATGGGAGGAAAATTAAATGACAACATTTATATTACGGGATGGACAATATATGTACTGTTTTAAAAATTGAGGGACAATATTTACATAACTAATAATTTAAAAATAGCATTGATAATTAATATAGAGTAAATACACAAAATGGTCCCTCGACTATAGCTAAATTCATAAATTGGTCTTTGACTTTCAATTTCAACCAATTAAGTCCTTAACTTTATAATTTTAACACAATTTGGTCATCTGTCTATTTGACCGTTTGTTGACTGTGATTTTTGATGATATATATGTAATTTCATGGTCCGGTTTTTTAAGGTTCCGGTTGCATTTTCAGACCGCACTGTTACATTCGAATCCACTGTCGAAAGCAATCTACCAAATTCGGTCGCCTTTCTTCATCCTCCCTTTGGATTCAATGTAGTTGAGTTCGTACTAGAGCGAAAAAGACGACGTGTTTCCGAATCGGTGCAACTTCATCCTGGAGGCCTCCACGTGTTCCGACGAGAGCTGAAGGTTCTTCTGAAGATCACCGATCACGATCAACAAACGATCAAATAGATGGAGGACCAAATCGTATCAAAATTGCAAAGTTAATGACTTAATTGGTTGAAATTGAAAGTCGAGAACCAATTTGTAAATTTAGCTATAGTCGAGGGACCATTTTTTATATTTACTCATTAACATATTATGAAAGAGCACAAATTATAATTTTTTCAATAAAAATATCCACTACATCTTAAAAAGGGTTCATAGAAGTTTGTGCAGTTAATAAATATTAAAATATTAATGACCCGTTTGGTTCACGGAATAGGCCGGCATAGCATTCCCAGTAATAGGTCTATTCCTTTTGATGGATTTAATTACCCGGGGTAGACCCGAATCAATAAATCCAATAAATGATAAATAGGAAAAGACAATGAATGTGTGTGTCACGGGGACAACCGTTGTATTAATGATCTTTTGTAGGGGAATTACAAAGAGTGTAGTAGTGATATAAAATGTAGATGTCCTAACAAAGACAAGGAGATGTCTTTTTATACTAAGCAATCCTCCCAACCGACCCCAAGAGAATAGGGCGGGCGGTTGGATCTTGGTTGACCGAGTCACGCGGGGAGACCCCCGTGGTAGTCCTCGCCCTGGGGTCCCCCATGGTAGTCCACGCCGGAGATTGACCGAGTCACGCGGGGACGAGGCCGACGCCCAGGTTGACCCTGACCTTCGCCGGCGCTGTGGTCGTCCCCCCATTGGGGTCCTCAGCCGAGGTCTTCGGCGGGGACCCCGTTGGGTCCCCAGGCCCTTCGCATGTCGCCGCAACTCTCGGGTCGGTTTGCCCCGAGTCTCTTCTCCTAATATATCCATCACCTTTGTTTGGTAACCATTTCTATTACCAGGTATAATATTCCTGGTAATAGCCTATTACCTCAAATAATGTAATAGATATTACTAGGGCCCCCTGGTATTAGCCTATTACTGAACGCTCAGTAATAGATTTTAGAATCTATTTTCTTTTTTTACCCCTTTCTTTAATTTAATTTTTTTATCCTATATATAAATTTATCCTATTTCACCACCGTCGTCGCCACCGTCGCTACCACCACCACCACCACCATCACCACCACCGCCACCACTATCGCCGCCGCTGCCGCCACCACCACCAGAATCACCACCCAGCAGCACCACCACTTCCACCACCGCCGCCACAACCGTCGCCGCCCCCACCACCACTGCCACAACCGTCACCGTCAACCGTCACCACCACCACCGTCACCCCCACCACTGCCACCGCCACCACCACCACTACCACCCCAACACCACCACCACCACCGCCACCACCGCCACCACCACCACCACCATCGCCACCATCACATATTTTTATACGGGTATTTATGTCTTTTAAAACATATTTCATTTCTATTCCTTAAATCAACCAAACACTGTAATATAATTCCTAAAGTCTATTCCTTCCGCGAACCAAACAATAGAATACAATTCATATTCTATTCCTTGCATATTCCATTCCTTATGGAATAACATTCCTATTACCTCAAAATTCATTCCGTGAACCAAACGTGCTATAAGTCTTTATATGGGTAATGCATAATAGTATTAAAATTGTCCAACATTAATGTTTAATAGTAAAATTATGATTATATTAAGATAATTTGACCCTTATTCTAATAATAAATAACACAAACCACAAACTTTGTATTATATTAAAATGATTCATTATTGACTTAATTTTATGTTTATACTTAATATTCAATTCTCATTTATTATTTTTCATTTTATATATTGTTTGTCTAGATAAATATATAAATAACATTACTTCATTCTCATTTTTCACGTAAAATTGAGCTCTAAATACTAATTCATCTCGGTCTATTTTAGATTGTACTTATTTACCCTTTGACTAGTATTATGACTTCTAATAAAATTTTAACTTTAAACCCGTACGTTCAAGAAAATTGAGATTTCTCCAATTGCGTTTCACAGAGTATAAGAGTATGATAGGACCACACTATATATAACAATGCTTCAAATGAGAAATGTGGACAAATGCTAGTCATCGATCTAGTATATCTAACTATCGAAAATTAAATAAAAACTAAGGAAAAAAGTGAAGTACTTTCATAAATATTACAAACTTTTCACATGATCAAATGATAACAATACTTCATGTGAGAAGTATATGTACTAATCTGAACTGTTTATCTTGAATGATCAATAGCTGAAAAGCAAGAGAAAAAAAATGAACCGTCAATTTTATAAATATTATAAACTTTGAAAGTTTGTAATATTTATGAATTTTACCCGTCTTTTTTTGTTTTCTCTATATTTTCATCTTATTTTTCTTTATTTTTAATCATTAGATATATTAGATCAATGACTATCATTTTTTACACTTCTCACGAAAAAATTTTGTTCTCATGAGAATCAGTCCTATATATATAATGAAACTATTTTAGAACTCATGGTTTTCAACCATGGACTCAACTAAGACTACGATCAAACCCATTGCAAATGTTCTTAATCCGAATATTAGGACTTTAACATATTAATTTGTATTTCCTTTTCATCTATTTTTTATTCCTTGTTCTAATTTAGCAATAGTTTAACTTAGATTAAAATATATTTATTGTTTTTGTTCAATTGTAAGGCAAAAGACTTTATAACTTCCGATTACCAACCATTATTATATAAGTTTATTTTATTTATATTTCTCTTAACATTACACATTTATAGTTCCATCTACCTCATTTACTTTGTGCATTTATGAGTAGCTAAGTACTTTGACTTGATTTATTGTCATTAATGCTTACTTGACTTGTATTGCATAAGCATAACTTGGTTTCACCTGGGTTTATTAGTAATTTTTTTTAGCGGTCAAATTTGTTCATGTTGAAATTGTATATAATTATTGAATTTCAATTATATACTATTATTTGAAGCGTGTTTGATGTTATGAGAGCTGAGTATAGCATGTAATACTAGCCACGCATTCACAATAGTACTTGGCAAGTTTGAGAAGATTTTAGAGTAAATATCCAAAATGGTCCCTCGACTATAGCTAAATTCACAATTTGGTCCTCAACTTTCAATTTCAACCAATTAAGTCCTTAACTTTACAATTTTGACACGATTTGGTCCTCCATCTATTTGACCGTTTGTTGACCGCGATCTTTGAGGATATATATGTAGTTTCACATGCAAAGCTCAAGAGAACGCTCTTGGAGGTGACATCGTTGTTTCCCGAGCCGGTTCAGCTTAGAGAACGCTCTTGGAGGTGACAGTGCCGTTTCGGAGGGGGGGAAGTGCTTCTCCGCTTGCTGCTTGGGGATCCCGAGCCGGTTCAGCTTGCCTGCATCGCTTGGAGTCACGGCTTTCTCGAAGAACCACTCCAGGGACTTCGGCGATCTATCTATCAAAAGCTATAATATCTCCGGCATGGGGTGCAGCGCCGACAGTGGATTCAAATGTAACAGTGCGCGTCTAGAAATGCAACCGGAACCTTAAAAAATCGACGATGGACCATGAAATTACCTATATATTCTAAAAAAGTGCAGTCAACAAACGGTCAAATATACAAAGGACCAAATTGTGTTAAAATTGCAAAGTTAAAGACTTAATTAGTTGAAATTAAAAGTCGAGGATCAAATTGTGAATTTAGCTATAGTCAAAGGACCATTTTGGATATTTACTCAAGATTTTATACTTTGTGTGCTTTATTTAAACAACTAGAATTTTTACCCAGAATTATTATACGATTGGGAAAGTAGGAATCAATATATTTTATTAGGAAGAGAGATTTTTTTGGAATTGGGCGGGAAAGTAAAATTCCAGGATTTTGTTATTATATATAGTATAGACGTACAGAGGGAATTGTATTACACTATTTTAAAATTTTAGAATAGAATTTTTACCCAGAATTATTATACGAATGGGAAAGTAGGAATCAATAAATTTTATTGGGAAGAAAGATTTTTTAGGAATTGTGCGGGAAATTAAAATTCTAAGATTTTGTTATTATATATAGTATAGATATACAAAGGGAATTGTATTAAACTATTTTAAAATTTTAGAATATAATTTTTACACAGAATTATTCTACGAATGGGAAAGTAGAAATCAATATATTTTATTGGGAAGAGAGATTTTTTAGGAATTGAGCGGGAAAGTAAAATTCCACGATTTTGTTATTATATATAGTATAGATGTACAAAGGGAATTGTATTACACTATTTTAAAATTTTAGAATAGAATTTTTACCCAGAATTATTATACGAATGGGAAAGTAGGAATCAATATATTTTATTGGGAAGAGAGATTTTTTAGGAATTGGGCGGGAAATTAAAATTCCAGGATTTTGTTATTATATATAGTATAGAATATAGATAGTATAGATGTACAAAGGATATTGTATTACACTATTTTAAAATTTTAGAATAGAATTTTTACCCAGAATTATTATACGAATGGGAAAGTAGGAATCAATATATTTTATTGGGAAGAGAGATTTTTTAGGAATTGGACGGGAAATTAAAATTCCAGGATTTTGTTATTATATATAGTATAGAAGTATAGATGTACAAAGGGAATTGTATTACACTATTTTAAAATTTTAGAATAGAATTTTACCCAGAATTATTGTACGAATGGGAAAGTAGGAATCAATATATTTTATTGGGAAGGGAGATTTTTTAGGAATTGGGCGGGAAATTAAAATTCATGGATTTTGTTATTATATATACTATAGAAGTATAGATGTACAAAGGGAATTGTATTACACTATTTTAAAATTTTAGAATAGAATTTTTACCCAGGATTATTGAACGAATGGGAAAGTAGAAATCTATATATTTTATTGGGAAGAGAGATTTTTTTGGAATTGGGCGGGAAAGTAAAATTCAAGGATTTTGTTATTATGTATAGTATAGATAGTATAGATGTACAAAGGATATTGTATTACACTATTTTAAAATTTTTGAATAGAATTTTTACCCAAAATTATTATACGAATGGGCAAGTAGGAATCAATATATTTTATTGGGAAGAGAGATTTTTTAGGAATTGGGCGGGAAATTAAAATTCCAGGATTTTGTTATTATATATAGTATAGATTAGTTAGGTCTAGTTACCACAAGAATGGAATGTAAGTTAGAATTGTAGGCCTGAATAGCTACAAGACTAGTATTTAGACAACTAAGGTGCATTATTACACTTTTTTCTATAACTTAATTAATTCTTAATTACTATCTCTATTACAATGTAATATTCAATATCACATCTACTGAAACTCGATCCCATAATTTCCGAGAGCAACCTGGTGCCATTGAATTGTAGAGAATATAATTTGCCTAAAAAGTTGAGACCCATTTATCGGAGATTGGGCCATCCTCAACGTAGCCCTGATAGGCCTTGACCCAAAAGAGTCACAAAGTGAACAAGAAAGAAACACAAAAGTGACCGAACCTTATCTTTATTCCACCATCTCCATAAAAAAGCCATCCACCATTACAACAAAGCTAAGGAATATAGCCAGCAGGATCGGAAGAAAAAAAAACATCCATGAAGTGCATTACTAGTATTCATTCTCCAATCCTTCCCAGATTCCCACAACCCACCACCACCACGTTCATGCATCAACTCACAAACGCCGCTACGACGCCGCTTCGCTTCCCCAACAACGCCTCCACCGCTCCTTTCCGGCGCAGCTGCAAGCCGCCTCCCGCCGCCGCCGCAACTCCGTCCTCCCTGTTTCTAGCGGCCGCCGTTCCGCCAGCCACCTCCGGGGACTATACGGTTCTGCTTCAGACAGGGTATTTAATTTTTAATTAATTTCCTCTGTAATTTTATTAATGCAATAAATGCAGAAACAGTAATTAACGGCTTGTGTGTTTTTCATCTGGAAAACGTCACAGCGGCTTGCTGTTCTTCTTGTATTTGATTACCAACTTTTTGGTGCCTACTTTGATCTTCAAGGACGACGGGTCAGACAAGGACAAAGAAGCCTGAAGGAAGCAACAACAGTAACATGTCCTCTGATCTGTATCGACTTTAATTTGGCACAATTCAACAAGTTTCTGAATCATAGGCATATTCCAAAAATCTGCTGGGATTTCAATTTCAACGACTGTATGTTTTTCTTTTTAGAATTAGAGCATTTAGTTTATGAAAATTGTAGTCAAAATGCTGGAGTCCTTGGTAATGGTAAAAAAATGGGGCATTCCGAGAATCGAACTCGGGACCTCTCGCACCCAAAGCGAGAATCATACCACTAGACCAAATGCCCTTGCGTTAATTGCTTTTAGTTGATGATTAAAGATCTTAATTGAAAATTGATGGAGTCAAAAAACGGGGCATTCCGAGAATCGAACTCGGGACCTCTCGCACCCAAAGCGAAAATCATACTACTAGACCAAATGCCCTTGCGTTAATTGCTTTTAGTTGATGATTAAAGATCTAATTGAAAATTGATGGAGTCAAAAAAACGAGGCATTCCAAGAATCGAACTCAGGACCTCTTGCACCCAAAGCGAGAATCATACCACTAGACCAAATGCCCTTAGGTTAATTGCTTTTAGTTTATGATTAAGATAGAAAAAGGAAGAGACGTATGCTCTTAGGGCATCCTCATTAGTGGATTTTAGGAAGGTTTTGGAACAGTAAAATGAGTTTTCACAAATGGGAGGGTAAACTTTTTGAGGAGATTTTACTCCTGCAAAATGGAGTTCTTTAGGGGCCCACATGCAGAGATAAAAGGAAGAAGGAGAAGGTGCAGGCGCGCCTGAGGCGCGTGAATGATCTTTTTTTTTTATTTTTTTTTTACTTTTCATGTCAGGCTTTTTTTTTTGCTTTTTTTTTCTTCTTCCCTTTTTCTCTTCCCTCTACCCTCTCTTTCCTACATGGCTATGACAAAATCTCTTAAAAATGCCTCACTATTGAGGTTGCCCTTATGAGATATCAAGAAGGTTAGATAATATTATTAATTGATTGATTAATTAATTAATTAATATAATTATAATTATTTTAAGTGTTAGATCCCCCTCCCCCCTCCCAGAACGCTATAATTAAGCACTTGTGTTTTAGCTAAGTTAAGGTTAACAAGAATGGTATTATAGTAGTATAGTTCAGCTTGCTAAGGATTTATTTATTTATTTATTATTATTTTTTGTATTAGTATTGTAATAGGATAATTAAATTATACAAGTATTTTCCTTGTAAAAAATTGTTAAAGTAACAATTTATGCAATTTGATAATTTTGTTCCATATGTACACCCAATAAAAATGAAAAATGCAATTTAGTATGGATTGTACAACCTAATACGTCCTATGCTACATTCCTTATCATTGTACTAAGATTCTTAATGAATTAGCACTCTAATTATTCGCCACATATTTAGGGCAAACTTTCTTTCCATATCTAGGTGGAATTATCTGTTGAGATCTAATATTGGACATTAAGCTCTGTTGTTTAAATGGTTTGATTACAAATAACTCTAACATTGAGTTTTATTAAATTATATAATATAAATTGGGTTAAAGTAAAAAAAAAAAAGTTCTTAATAACAAAAATATAGTCAATTATATTGATGTGTTAAGAATACTACTTCACTTCGAATTTTAACTTAAAAACTAAAAATATACGGAGTAATTTTTTAAAATTAAATATATATATCATGTTTACTATTTATTAACTAAATTAATTCTTATTTATTTATTTTAAATACTTTCTTATCTATATAACATTTTGCATTTTATAAAATTATTTTTTTTGAGATAGCATTTTATAAAATTATTAAATATATAAATTTGATTACTAATATTAAATGAGATATATGAAATAATTAATTTGTAGAAAACATGAATGGAATCAAACGATAAATAGTACGGAGCATATGTTATGAAAATGACAAAAGCTGTTTTTTAGTATACAGTCTTCAAGGGAGTGTGAGAATTGAGACAGCCTCCGGAAGTGCGTAACACGCGCTGGGCTCTCGCGGCGAAGATATTCAGAGACGTAACCAATCACGTGCCGAAGGGGGCTACACTTAACGCCGTCATCTCACTCTATATTTTGCCTCGATAAATTGGACATTTGGACAGGCCACCGTTCGGGGAGTATTAGTGTTAAGAGTTAAGACCCGAGCCTGTGAGGTTCGGACCGCAGCCGAAAAAAGCCAAAGCGAACCCTCAGGCTCAGGCAGATGCAATAATAATTGAGTGGAAAAAGAAGAGAGAGAAAGGGAGGTATTTTTTCTAGAGAGAGAGAACTCCGAAGTCCGAACAATATGGGACAGATCGTGAAGAAGAGGAAGAAGGGGCGTCCGTCGAAGGCAGATCTCGCCGCGCGCCGTAGCTCCGGTTCCGCCGCGGAGAAGTCGGACGGAGAGCTCCGGCGGAGCGGCCGGCGGCGGAATGTCAGGTACTGTTTTGACATCGACGATTACCTCGACGATGACGACGAGTACTTGGTGGACGAGGAGGAGGAGGACGAGAGCAGGAGGGAGAAGAAGCTCGAGCTCTTACTTAAGCTCCAAAACATGGAAGGTAGCGGCGGCGGCGTGGCTGAGTCGACACCGAGTCCGACTCGGCACGTACGTCACGCGCCTACCGCGTCTGGATCTTCCTCCGACTTTGCTGACGGCGGCAAGCCATCGAAGATTAGGAAAATCGACGGCGACGGTGAGGTCGATGAAGAATACGAGGAAAATGACGGCGGCGGCGATGATGGCGATATCGAAAATGATGGCGATGAGGTACCAATTGTCTGGATCTGAATTGAAAGTGCAACAAAAATAATGAGAGTTTGATAAAAGGGATTGTGTAAACGGCGCGGAGAGAGAGAGAGAGTGTGGGAGTCCAGCTCACCCTTTCGAATTTTCACTGAGATTTAAAAAAAAAAAAAAATTGCTCGCTCACTCTTTCTCTCTCTCTATATATCATTCTTGAGTTTGTGCGTAAATCTGTGTCGGGAAATGGATATTTATAACTGTCAGGTCAACTAACCTCCACAATTCCTGCCCTTCTCTTTCTTTCCTTTCTCTCTCAACAAACTCCGTATATATATACAATAGACACTCTTTTGTCTCCCTGTCTGTGTTTATCCTTTTGCTTCCTACGCTACAGACATTCTGTTCTGTTAAAATTTTGGGTCTTTTGAGGTTAATTCTTCTGTTAAACCTTTGACAGGTACGAGGAAGAAAGCCGGAGAGGAAAACAGTTACCACTACGTCAGGTATATTTCTGGGGGTTCTAATGTATTTATTGCATACTGGTTTTGGTTTTCTTACTTTGTTTGAACAGGGACATTATCAGAGCATCCATTGCCAGATAAGAAGACATTAGAATTGATCCTCAATAAGCTTCAGAAGTAGGTGTTCTGTTTTACAGAATCGGAAATTCTTAGGTTGTTTTTGTTAAGAGCTGGTCTAATGTTCAGTTTGTTTAATTTGTTGTGTCAGGAAAGATATTTATGGTGTATATGCTGAACCAGTTGATCCTGAAGAGGTATGTGTTCATTTTAGTGCAGGAAAGGAAATATTGAGGTTTAGGCTATCCTTAAATCTTGTTTCTAAACATTTCTGGTTTGGGTATTTGCAGCTTCCAGATTATCACGATGTGATCGAGCATCCAATGGACTTCCAAACCGTGAAGAATAAATTGGGAAATGGATCGTATGCAACCTTGGAACAATTTGAGGTGAATATCTGGCCTACAAAACTTTGAATTTTGAATTTTTAGTATGAGGCTTAAGATTCTTGCATTGTTGCCAGAGTGATGTGCTTTTAATCTGTTCAAACGCGATGCAATACAATGCGCCAGATACAATATACTATAAACAAGTAAGATTTTCTGCCTTATGTAAATGTTTTTTTCCAGTTCTTTCTGAAACTAGCTGAATGTGCAATTGTTTTGGACAGGCCCGTTCCATCCAAGAGCTAGCTGAAAAGAAATTTCAGAAGTTACGAATCAACTTTGAACGCTTAGAAAACACCAAGTCAGAACAGAAGCCGAAGTCCAGCGCTGCTGTGAAAAAGGTTATGAAGAAGCCGATTGGCTGGATGGTGCAGAAACCTGTTGGGTCGGATTTCTTCTCCGGTGCCACTCTTGCAACTGCTGGAGATATCCAGAATGGTTCGAATATGTTCCGTTTGGGCGACTCTGAAAGACCCAGCAGTATTGACCGGCTTATTGAGAGAAACTCTTCTGGAATTGACAATAACATGGACAAGGAAGAATCACATTTAGGTTGTCTTAAACATCTAAATTGTATCGAGCCTTATGACGTTTTGCCCTTCTGATTTTTTTCTATTTCTACTACTGCAGGGAAGGCACTTTCAAGATTTGGAAGGAAATCAGCTGTCCCTGATGAAAACCGTCGCGCAACCTATAACACAACTTCTCAACCTGTTACCAATTTAGAATCTATATTTACAACATTTGATCGAGAAAGCAATCAACTGGTTCCTGTATGCATCAAAAATTCTTCTCAACCTTTGTGCTCACATGGTTTAATTTAATTAATTAATTAATTTATTTATTTTTGTAATAGGTGGGGCTTTACACTGATTATTCCTATGCAAGGAGCCTTGCTCGATTTGCTGCAACTCTCGGGCCTAATGTCTGGAAAGTTGCATCAAGGAGGATCGAGCAAGCACTGCCTCCCGGTTTCAAATTTGGTCGTGGATGGGTCGGGGAATATGAAGAACTTCCTACTCCTGTATTGATGCCTGAGAACTATACTCTGAAGGAACCGGCTTTTCTTGCCAAATTCGTGCACAGAACTGATGCTGAAAAGGATAAGTTTGTGAACCCAGCTTCTTCAAAAGAGAACCCAGTCAAGGGACCGAAAACAGGACAATTGCCTTATTTTGGTTCATCTGGAACAAAACCTACTGCAGATAATAGCCCCAATATCTCGATTAATGGGAATGAGCTGCCTGTTAGTGATGCGAATATTGGAAGCAATGCATTTGTGACTGGTATTTCTGGAAACAAACCATCTGGTTCTGCTAGTCCCAAATACCACCAGCAAAACTCGCAACCCCAAAATTTTATCAAGTCTGAGAAAAAGGTTGTGAAGCATGTTGAGTTAAATTCTGTACCGCTAGCTAATGAAAGGAATGCCAACTTTTCTTCACAGAGTCAGGTGACCAAAAGCGTTGTTGCAGTACCTGGGTCAAGATCATTTGAGACGGTTCCAATGAACATAAATATGCTGTCTTCTGGGTCTTATAAGCAGCTGAATATCAATGGTGTTTCTGCTGGAGTACCTGATGGTAAAAGCCCAAGTAATGGTTTTGATAGTAATGGAACAGTTCGGCAGCCCTCTAATGATTTTGTTAATAGCATGAACAAAGCTGCGACATTATTTGCAAATGAACAAGGGCAGGGCCTTAGTGATCCTGTGCGACGGATGATGATGTTATCTGAAAAGAATACAAATCAACACAAGTCTTCACAGCAAGCCAGAGTTGATGTGCCTCCAGTTTCCCCTGCCACTATGTCTTTGCCAAAAGATGGTCCGAATAACGCTGCATCAGCTGCTGCTCGTGCCTGGATGTCAATCGGGGAAGCAAGTTATAAACAGGCTGGTGAAAATACAAATTCCCAAAACAATCAGATATCTCCACGATCCACCCATAATCCTCAGTCACAATTTCGGGGAGAACTTCCTGCTGCATATGGAATGTATATCCAACCTGGTAAGGGAAATTTTCCATTTCCATTTCATGCCTTTGTGCCCCATCCTGGCAGGGTAGGAACTGAAGGTCAATCACCATATGAACCCATGGTTTTCCCACAATCAGTTCCTGCTGACTTGTCTAGGTTCCAAGTGCAACAACAACAATCTTCCAGGCCAAATCTCAATGCACCTGCTCCACCACGACAGAAACGGGAATCAGTCCCTCCCGACCTAAACGTTAGTTTTCAGTCTTCTGGATCTCCTGGCAGACCCTCTGGTGTTTTGGTTGATTCTCAGCACCCAGATCTGGCCTTGCAACTCTGAGTCTTCTTTGATGAGTGGAGAAGGTTTGGTTGAATTCCCTAACAGCAGTTTTAGTTTATTCATGTTCAAGAAGGGTTTGTTTCTCATGCTTCTGATTCTTTGCAAAAAGAGGCTCATTTAAGGCTTTAGTGGTAGACTGGTAGACTTAGAATACATGCCTTCTAATTGCACAGGGCAAGGCAACTGAGGTTAATATGTCGTTCTCATTTAGAAATTAGAAATGGAACTAGCATTTGTAAATTATTCACAGCAAGATAACAGCCATTTGCACCTGATGCTCTCTTTAATTGCCTTAATACGGAGTATCTTTTTTTTACTCATTAAATTCTCAACTGCACAACATTTAAACTGTATATATATGACCAAAGACAATAAATTGATATTAAACCAATGCAAGCTCGTGCATCATTCAGATCTTTGGGAGAATAGAGTCATACAGACTTGTAACAAGGATTTACAAATTTTTCTGAGATTATATACAGAGAGATTAGGCTGTTGGCAACTTCAGAAGGATCCAAAGGTGTTCTCCCCGCTATAAGTCATGTAGAGGAAGCCATCCTCATCCTTGTGTTCATCATAAATTGCGGACATCATAGCAGCTGCAGATAAGGAACCACGATCGTGAATACGACTTGAAGGAATTCAGAAATGAAAATTTATGTGAGATTGTACTTACCAGTGGGAGGAAGGATGTTCTTCACAAAGATAAAAATGGCCTTCTCAGCACTTAGCTTTATCCTCTTTCGAACAACATACACAAATTGCCCAACAGTCAGATCAGCAGGAACAAGATACCTGAAAAAACATTGTGATTTAACAGTGTTAATCGTTTCACAATAAAGGTGGAAAACAACAAATTATTTCAGATGGTTTACAATCTATCTAATGTTTCTTGTCCTTGCAAAATAGCATCAAGAAAATATGGGGTAGAGTACATAGGCACTCTAATTATCATCCCTAGCAACACCAAATTGTTCCAGGAAAGTATCAGCTAAGTTAAATAAATGAGGTCTCAATTGAAATCAATCAAATTTTAGGGCTTGTAATGAAGAGGATGAAGACTCATGATTCAATAAGGCACACAGACAACTCCATGCACAATGCTTTCTGTCAAACTCAAAGTAGTGACCCAAACCACAAAAATAAAAACAAAACAGGTGGCTTTTGAATAGGAGCTCACTTCTTCTTGTCAATGTCGGGGATGTCACTCCTTTCAGCCTTCTCCACAATGACCTGTACAGAAACAATTGATTAACATATTGGTAAAACTGAGGCAAAGGTCATCAGAAATATACAGAACAGAATTGTAAAGGGGGCAAATGGAAATTCTTTACTGGAATTCTATCAGGATACTTCTCTCTGATGCGAGCAGCTTCTGCCTGTCTCCTCTCTGGACATTGAAAATCAAATCATAAATACAATTAAAACCGGATACACTAAGATATCAAATAAACATCAAATCATGATTTCTCAGAAACAACCGACAATAATCCATCCACCACCGAGTAAACATAAGAACAAATTGCAAAAATAGAGCAAATTTCTTATATCCAAACATAAGATTATGCATCGAGTTTCCACATCGCAACTTATATAGAAATCGCCTACTTTTTCACTATAAATAGGGGTATCATCATGTACCTAATAAATCTATTTTGCTAAACATCAATATCATTCAGAAGGTGAAAAGCACGAAATCGAAAATTACAACCAACAAAAATCTCTGGAAAAAATTCAGCAAAAATTAAATTGAGTTCTCAACTAGTTCAACTAACAGATATTATTATCATCCAAAAGTGCAACAAGTCAAAGATCAGATCCAACAACCAAAAAGTAAAAGTAATACGCAGTCTTCAAATCCATATACGTAGGGAATATATATAGAAAAAGAGATACCTAGAGGGTGTTCCAACTTGAAAGAACTCTTGGCCATGGCGATCGGCGAAGGATTTGATGTGCTGCGAAGATCGAAGGGGAATTAGGGCTTGCAAAGTAAATAAAGGAAAAAAGCAGGGGAACAATAATTGGAAGTTAGAACTCAAAAGAAAGGTCGAGAAATAGGAAGAAAAGTAAGGAATTACCAAAGCAGAGAGAAAGAGAGAGAGGAAAGAGAGACGCTTCGTCTGATGCGAAAGTGTACGAAAAGATTTAATTGAGCAATGCGAAGATCTCACGCCTCGATGGCCGTTTCGCACTATTTATCGCTTTTTCCAATTTATTTATTTATTTTGTATTTTGCGAGACAAGCTTGTATGTATTGTATGTATTTCGACGATGTACGCGTACGCCGCTTGATTGGATAACGTGGGTCTAACTTTTGGATAAGTCAAAAAGATTCTTCATTTTTTTTTTTAAATTAATACTCAAAACGGTCATCAATTATAGTAATTTTTTTAATTTTGTACTAAACGGTTTTAATTTGATGACTTAATATAATCTCATATTTTTGTATTTTTGCTTAATTTAATCTTCCGTTTGCTATTCCATTAAATTAGTGTTAAATAAAGAGATAATTCAGTAATCTCAATATTGAACTCTCTTTCTTTTCAGTCTTTAAGTGCGAAATCCACTCTTTTTTACAAATTATTCCAGACCTGCGAATCAAATTTTATGTTCGCAAGTTTGGGAGTAATTTATAAAAAATAGAGAATTAAAACCCATAACTAAGTTACTAAATTGTCTTTCTATTTAACACCAAATTGAATGTACATTATTTAATATTTAATCATATACAAAATAATATACTTTTAGTACTCAAATAATGCACTTTATATACACAAATAATATACTTTTTATTTGTAATAATCATGGTCCATAGAAGAATGATTGCCATTTTGTTCAACCCTCTTCGGGGTTGAGGGTTGTTCAAATCTCTACAGTTGTATAGCCCTAGCAAGTTGCATTTGGCCCGTGACAAGTGATCTCATGTTTAAGTGGTCCAATCTTTTATACTGAGTGGCTTTTTTATGAAGGCAAGCCCTCATATTTAATACACAAGAAGTGCAAGGAAGTGAAAGGTGAAAACAGGAAATCATAGCCTGCATTTATACAGACTTATTACAAGTTTCACTAGCTCTCCAATCAGAGACTAAAAGAATTTTTGTGTTTCCTAAACATCTAAGAAATTGTAAGTTTACACTTTTTGCTCCTCTAGTAGACTGCTGCCATAGTCATCTCTTTCCTTACCTAAAATGGAGTAGATTCCCACAGCAACCTCTCTGTCTCACTGCTTCTTTCGACGCGTATTTTACAGGTTGATAATTCAGAAAAATTCCCCGAAACAAATGGCCATTACACTGTACTCTTGATATCAGTTCCAACGCCTCCAGAGCTTGGAGGATCCGCATTATCAAAACACTGCATTCCAAAGGGCGTTATCGCCTTCCCCACACCGACGGTGAACCTCCTTGATTCTCTCCACCGAATTGCAAATGCCACTGCATCGCCAATCAAAGGAAGCCACGCATACGTTCCCCGCTTGAGCCTTCCATTCACAGTCTGGCAAAATAGACGTTAGAATCTAAGATTGGACGCCACCAAAGTGGACCGAAGCCAAACCACACTAAAAGATTGAATCAAAATCAATTAGAGATACTACTAGCTCTGTTACAATGCAGTATCTGTTCATAACTACTTACTCAACCTACTGAAACACAAAGAGTCAATACCATATCCACTGAGGCTCAAACCCACAACCTCCCATATGGGAGAGCAACTTGGTGCCACTAGACCACAAGGTACTTGGCTTGACTTATAGTGATTATAACATATGATTAGTGCAAATTCATTGCACAATTGTGAGGTGAGATGGCGTTGAAATCAAAAAGCTACATTGAGGGCACCAGAAAACAGTTGTATTTGGAGAAAAGCCGAGTAGTGAAATCATACCGGGTGGAGTTCCACAGCACAGCCTTCGGTCATCTATATGTTCTACATCCAATCCGATTAACCATGATCCCAGAGAGACGTCCTCGTTAGTATATTTGTGAAGCATGTTCCTAAGGAGATTAAATTTCAAGATTTACAAATTGATATTGAAACTGGAAAGGTCAACTGACTAGTAAATTTCACCGAGAAACGAAAATGCTCACTGGTTTATGGAAATATAGGTTGCTAAATCTTTTGAAATGGCATATAGCTGCCCAGTCGCATGGCGGAAGTACTTATTTCCTTCCTCACCAAATTTCCAGTGTTCGGGCTCATGATATCTTACTCCCCTGCAAATAGGAGGACCGACAACAAAGGTCAGTAAACGCGTCAGACCTTATAAACAAAGAATTGGTCTTTTTTTTTTGTCAGACCATGAGGTGTCCTGAGCAAGTCCTAACTGTAGGAGACACCTTTAAGCCCGTACCATACTCAGACTAATCCTCATTTGCACCGGCCCGGCCCAATAAGGGACAAAGTGCTGGCCAAATTGGTTTTTCCATACGAGAGGAGGTTTGAACTCCCGACCTCTCTTAAGGGATGAGAGTGCTCGGCCACTCACGCCAACCAAGCTGGTTCAAAGAATTGGTCTTTAAACTAGAACAAAAAATTCATTCAGACGGTGTTTGAAAATTTTCTCCTTACTTCTGTGCAAGGACGGGACCAGATTTCATGCATCCAATATATACTCGGGGTTTGGAACGATGCCTGGCTAAAGTTGCTCCCAGTGTCCCTGAAGTTCTCATTCAAGAACATCGCATAGTGAGTTAAAGTATAATTCCATCGAGACTCTGAGCATGTTCTTTATTAAAATAAGAACAAAAGCATATGCCACAGTATCCTCATTTGATGAACGGGGCACCACAAGGACGAGTAGTTGTAACTTACCTATATTTACATGTATATCATCATCAACCTTGACATAGAAATCTGCATCCCAGAGAGCAACAGCAGTAGCAAAATACGTCTTTGTCTTAGCAGACAGCTCAAGGTACCCCTCAACATGTTCCTGGCAATGTTGAATTATGATGTGAGAGCTAGCAAGCAGGACAAGGCAAAAAGGAGACGATACTTTTTCTCATTGCTCTACAAATTGACCTAAATTTCAAGCCCCCGGGGTTTTTTTTTGGATTATAAATGCATGCCCGTTGAATTATCATTTCTTTAGGGCTAATCGTTGGGCGGAGGCCTGAAGGGCCAAGTCCAGAACCAGATGGCTAGGGGATTGTAGGGCGGAGGCCTGAAAGGCCAAGTCCAAAACCCTACCTTTCGAAATGTGGCATAATACTAATACAAAGAATTTGCATTACCAGTCTCAAGAAATCTCCGTGCTTCTTGTCTTCTGCTTCAATTGCTCGATCAAGAATGCCACCAGAAGTAGCACTGTTGTGAATGGCGATTTTCAAATGAAAATGAAAGAAAATTAGTAGCCTGACTCAGTTGATCATAAAAGTGGCTTCTGGGATCCAATTTAATTTAAAATGCTTAAATTATCAACATCCAACACCCACCTGTGTCCTATTACAAAGCGCATAATAATGCCTCTTTCCTCCTCGAGCTTTTTTAGTTTCTCCCCTGTTTTATAACAGGTAAATTATCAAAATAAACTAAGCAAACAGGTATATAGGGGAACACAAAAGAGATGAAGGGTCATCAACCTTGGGGAATCCAGGTAGCACGGATAGAGTCTCTCCTTTTTCGGCTGCTAAAGGCGGTATTTATGCCAACGACCATTAGATATTTTCGTTTCTTATTCAATTCCGGGATCTTCAAGTCTTCAGATATCGGGGAGCCAGTCAGTATAGAATCCTGCAAAGCCCTTGCTGCAGCTAACTCCATCTCTAAATTAGATATTGTTTTATCCAGAGTTCTGTATTTTCGTAAATACATTTATGATTTCAGAATTTCAACAAGTATTCATGAAATCTACACGTGATAGGCTCAAGAAACATACTGTATAGCGTTTTGTGTCTTTGAAACCTCCATAAGAATATCCCGGGATTCCCTTTCTGGGTGCTTCTAATGCCACCAAAAAAAACAAATGCCTTAAAGCTTATCACAGTTAAAAATAATACATCAAAGAAAATAGTGTACAGCTGTTATATGAATCCTGCATACTTGAAGGGATGGGAGATTATGACTCTTATATCAATGCCACATATTTAAAGCGAACGGAGATTGAATTTCACAAAATTGTGTAGTACTCACAATTCCAGTATCACAGCCCTCTGAAACTAACTTTATCTTGTCATCCTCCATCTGTGTAGGCCGTGATATGCCCTTAGCTTCTGGCACCGTCCACATTCTATAACCAAAAGGTCCAAAAGATTGCAATCAACAACACATTAGGAAACTTCTCTAAATAATATAATGGATAGAAAGCACAAGTCCCATATTGCAGAGAAAAGTTTATGTAAGAACACCTTAGTAAAATCCCATAAAAACATGTGGTATTACTTTTTGGAAGTGCAAAAAGCTCAAGCCTTTTTTTTTTTTTCTTTCTGGATGACGAGGAAAACCTGTAGCCACTATCCAAGGGCATGCACCAGATAAACCCCGTCTTTTGACCCTAGTCGGTAAAGGACCACAAGGAGGTAAACCAATCTGTCCATAGCTGACTGGGTCAAACCAAGAAGGCTCAAGTCTAATTTAATTTATCATACAGGAATCTAATATTGTATTTTCTTATTAACATTATGAACTAAAAGTCTCAAACCACCAAAGATTTATTCTTATGTCCTTTTGACTTTCCCCACCACCACCCTTGCACCTACCCACCCACCCAAAATAAATAAATAAATAAAAATTACTGAGAAACAGGGTGGAATAACTGGAACCAAGAACAAACAAACCAATTTGCTGATAAAATGTAATTGTCAAGGTATTGAAGAGCAATTCTCCATTAATCTTTTCAGAAACCAACAGAACTAGTTGGGGTAATGAAATTAGCTTCTCAGGAAATAGATAAACAATTCAAAGAAAAGTCTGTGCCAATTTTGGTAGCAGCCAGATCCCAAACTGTAGGTTAAAAACCAGTGGATGAGAGGTAGAAGAAGCAGAAGAAATGCCACTCTCCAGATTCAACTTCTAAAACTACTATCAGTAAATTGTACCACTCTTATTATTCTGCTGGGAAAATGCATTCAATTCAAAACCTAAGCCACATAAACATCCTAAAACTTGTCAACCATCAGCAGTTTAGCTATGGATATATTATTCTGCATCACTAAGATCAGAAGAGCAATGGTTTTTTACACAGATCAAAGACACTCAACGCTGGAAACTATAAACATAAAGATTGGTGCGCATGAAAAAGGGGTCAAAAGAATGAACCTGTCAGTGAAGAGCATCCCGACACAGAAGCATCCAACACAGAGCAAGATTGTTAATTTTCTTGAAACAACACTCTTTGGGGTGGAATCAAATCCCCTGCTTTTCCAACCCATTTTTCTCTTCTTCTTCTTCTTCTCTGCTCGAAACCAATCAGAATTCAAATTCAAGGAATACCCATCTCAGTTCCCAAGCCAACCTAGCTCAAGAACCAGATTCAGAGTTCCAAGACTAGATTTTTCACTACAAAATTCAAAAACAGAATGAGAAGAAGGTGGTATTGGGGTATTGGTGGTTTGTGGAATTTGAGGACAAGACGACTCACTTTGCCACCCACCCAAATGGATTCCAACTGAACACCAGGTAGGCTCAAGAGTCAATCAAGACTTCTCTCTTTCCCCTACCCTTTCATTTATTTATAATTGTTGCGGAGTAATTTGTTTTCACTTTCTAGTCTGTACAACAAAATTGTCGGTGGAGTGGCTTTGGGACTGTCAGAAGAATAGCCGCAATTTATAGTAATTCACGCTCATAAATGACCCTTTCTTGCCCCATTTTTTACACTTCTACCTTTACCTCCCTCTCCGTAATGGTAAATCTATTTTCCCTCTCACCTGCCGATTTCCAAAGTTTGAACCTTGCCAGTGTAATGTGAAAATTATATTCAAAGTGAATAGATCTCCTGTGCACACTAATATTTAGTATTATTTATTGAGTCATTGAGTTATCGTAATTTACATTCTTTCAAATACTCTATGGGGTCGAGTCGGGAAGACCATTCGGATTGAGAATTTAACCTTTTAAAAAAAAAGAATATGTATTTTATTTGAAAACTGTTTGTTAAAAAATGATTAAATAAGTCATTGAATTTTATAGTAAACAAATGTAATAAAATACTTGAATTTTAAAAAATTGTAAGTAAATACATCAACTTGTTATTTTTATGCATTTAGGCACAATAGTTGATCATTCACTAATAATACTCAGTAATTAGAGTTCCAAAAATCAAATTGGCGACCATTGAAATATTGTCAATCACATTTTTCAACTAAAGAATGTGAAGAAAAATGTAACTACTGATTGTCTTATCCCTACAGAGGAGAAGGTGACCAGTCAGTCGACTTCTTCCTTTGAAAAAGGCAAGCACATATCACTTTTGTCACTGAAGAAGGCAACCGGTTGGTCGCCTTCTCCTTTTAAGGAAGAAGGCGATCGATGGTCACCAATTTTACTGTTGTAACCCTAATTACTAATGGATAACTGATTATTGTGTTTAGTTGCACAAAATGACAAGCTAATATATTTATTTATAACTTTTAAAAAATTCATAAACCTAATTATATTTTTGTATAAAATTCAAAGACTTATTTGACATTTTTCCTATAAAAAAAATAAAGTAGTTATAGTAATCTTATCCCCTAAAGAGGGTGATTACAATCCTATGTTCCTACTTGGCATTTTTTTTTTCTATAATGACAGTGGCTTACAAGTTTGCATTTGCCAAATGTGAAAAGTGGGGCAATTTGTTTGTTTGTAATAAATAAATAAATAAATAAATAAATAAATAAATAAATAAATATATATATATATATATATATATATATATATATATATATATATATATATATATATTTATTTATTTATTTATTTATTTATTTATTTATTTATTTATGAATTATCTAGATTTGTAGGAATGTAGAAAAACAGTGCATAAATAATAACTATGATGTTATAATAATATAACTTTTTTTTTTTTTTAAAGGGAAAATGACACTTTTTTCCTCTGAGTTATATACATATAGCATTTTTTCTCCCTGAATTATTGAAGTGGCTATTTTTCTCCCTGAAATGTTAAATGGACATATTTACCCTTAAAATAAATATTTCATTTATTTTTTTTCTCCAACAAATTATGATCATAATTTGGTTCAAACCAAACAAACACTAAAGCAACCAAACCAAAATATTCCAATTACAATTTAGAATCGAAACTCGATATTTAGAGTTTATTAAAATCGTGAACCGGAACGGACGGTTCATGTTCCGAACTGAAAAAAAAATACATTTATTGTTGAATTTAGACTATTTTAAAATAAAAACTAAAATTTTAAAATAAAGACACTTCAAAATCGCAAACCGGATCCGGAACCGCCGGTATACGGTTCAAGATTCAAATTTTTTATACATAATTTTAATAAATTGACATCTAAATATTGGATTTTAGATCTGAATCATAACCGGAAACTTTTAATTCGATTGCTTTAGTGTCGGGTTCAGTTCAAACCGAACCGTGGCCATCCCTACGTATACGCAATAATTTGTTGGAGAAGTAAAATAAATAAAATGTTTACTTTAAGGATAGAAATGTCAATTTAATATATCAGGGGGAAAAAGCACCACTTTTAGAATAATTGAGGGGGCTAATATGCTTACCTAAATAATTGAGGGGGAAAAGTGCTATAATTATATAACTCAGGGGGAAAAAGTGTCATTTTCCCTTTTTTAAATGAGAGAGTATTGCATGGATAAATTAAACAAAAGTCTCATATTTTTATAGGAGTGAGTTGAATTCGTATGAATGTAGGGAAAATATTAAATGAATTATAAATATGATTATATGATTATAATGTCTATTTTTTTTTTTTTTTTTTTTAGCAAGAGAGTATTACGGGAATAAACATAATCTTAACTCTTAAGGTATAATTTGATTGATTAGACTAAATAAGTGATACCATCTGATATGAATACATCTCTTTAAAAAAAAAATTGATAGACAATATTTTTGTATATGCCAGTTATAATATTTCTCACAGATTGGTAGTGATTTATTTTTTATTTTCTTTTAGATAATAATATAATTAAATCATGAACATTGTGAGACAATGGAGTTAAATCATGAATATTAGATAATGGAGTTAAATCATGAATACTGTGGTTAATGAGTAATTTGCTTTTTGGAAAGTTTGGTTAAATTATTAATATTCATTGCATAAACACTATGAAAGATTGTTTATGTTTTAAGGAATTTTTTTTTCTTTATTGAGTATGTATCAAGTGCAAGTCTAGTTTCAATTGGCATAATTAAAGCATGTGCTCCATCTCAACTAAAAGCCTAAGCTGATAGTTGGATTGCACATTAATGGTTATATGCTCACACGCCCCCTCACGTGTGAGGTGGGTTCCAAGCAAGCAACACGTGGACCGGTAAACCGTAGTCGCTTATGAGTGACGCTGAGATTCGAACCCGTGACCTCTAGTCTGGCTCTGATACCAAATTAAAGCATGTGCTCCATCTCAACTAAAAGCCTAAGCTGATAGTTGGATTGCACATTAATGGTTATATGCTCACAGGCATTAGTTGCAAATTAAATGCGATTCTTAATTAATTATAAAAATAGGTATGTTTATCTTCGGTAATAACTTACAGGTAAAAAGTGTAATTTTCACACTAATCATCCAAGAATGTAATTAAGTAGTCATTTTAGTGATTTAGTGGCTAAGTTTATAAATATTCTATAACTTCTCCATTTTTAATGAAATAACATAACTTAAAATAATATTACGACAATTATCAAATAAATCATCAACTATTTAGAAAAGTTCAATTAACCATTGAACTAAAAATAAAAATAAAAAATCACAACAATCCCAAATTTTTTTAAAAAGTGCAATTAGCACTTTTAGCAAGTAGTATGTTAAGTTGGTGTTGACGTGGCATTTTCAAAATTTGTTGGCTATTATTGTTGTTGTTATTACTACTAGAATAAGTTACACGAGATGATGAAAATTTCTACCGAATATTACATTATTACAATAGTAATTATGTTAAAATTATTTAAACTTTTAAATTCCGATTATCTTTTGAACTTTACTTAAATGTGATAGAATATTAACTTTGAACAATATCCAGAAAATATTTATATTATTGCATAATAAAATTCTATAATAATAATAATAATAATAATAATAATAATAATAATAATTCAAACCATTTTTATAAATTTATTTATATTTTAAGAAATTACTAACTAATCCTTACTACTTAAAAGTTAAAATGTAAATGAAATTAAATTTATTTATTATATTACTCTACTATAATTTTTGCATATGTTATATTCATATTGGCTACAGAAGCTAGATTTTTTTTTTTTGAAGGTTTTAAAAACGATATACTAATGAATAAACTGAATGATAGAGTCAGGAGGGAAAGAGTCCCAGTACATGGATTGCTCCTGATCAAAAGCTAGCGAAGCTAAAGTATGAGCATGAAAATTAAGAGTTCTAGAAACATAACTTAAAGAACACTTTGTAAATGACGATATAGCTGTCCTACATTGGTCCACAATGATCCCAAGGTAAGAGTAGTTAGCCGTGGGGTTGGAGTGTAGAGTATTCCGTAATTCCAAGCAATCTGTTAAAACATCGACTTCCATGATATTCCGATCTTTGAGCCAAGATAGCGCCTCCTTGCATGCTAGTGCCTGGGCCATAATAGCCGAGAAAGCCCCGAGAGCTTTCCATTATATAACTAGCTTTCAAATATGCAGTTTAATATTCATACTGTTAATTTCTTTTTGCATAATCATTCAACACTCATAAATTTTTATTGTTCAAATTAGGCTAACATGAACACAAAATTTAATCAATGACGGAGTGTACTGATTCAAACTTGCTCGTTTTACACCTCAAAAAATTGTTTTGAAATTAAAATGTTAATTTTGATTTTCTATATATTTAATAATCTCCATGCCATGTTCCAGTTTGGACTTTGCTTTTTCCATTGTCAATTTCTAAGCTGGCTCTGAACGTGAAAATATTCCCACCTTTCAAATTTTCAATTGGCTCACACATGACACGAGCATATAGGCTGGTAAATTTTTGTTTTTATTTTTTAAAGGCCAATGTAATATCCTTTCACAAGCACATTAAGGTTAACACACGCAGAGGGCACTGTACATAGTAGATATATAAAAGAGGAAGAAAAAAATACTTTGACAGAAAATAGTACATTGAGCCATATTTTGTGAGGAGGGGAGGGGGGGTTGAAATTTTTAATTTCTACTGTATTCTCTAAACTGGGTGATAAGGACGGAATTAGAAATAATTTTTAAGGGAGTTGAAATTATAATATAAATTAGGGAAAAAGGGTCAAATAGGTTCTCAAACTTTAGCTAAAAAGTTAATTAATCCCGTTAACTTTTTAAAGGTGTTATTACACCCATAAACAACTCATTTTGATGCAATAAAGCCCAATAACATGTAGAATTACAGTTTTGTCCTCAACTTTGACAGTCAATAAACAGACAATTTAACAAAGGACTAAGTTGGGTAAAAATTGCATAATTGAGGACTTAATTGGGTAAGAATGATAGTCGATGACTTAATTGGGTAAGAATGATAGTCGAGAACGAAATTGGTAATTACGTCATAGTCGAGGGACCATATTGGTTATTAACTCATTGTCCAAATTAAAAGTTGAGGACCAATTGTAGAAAATCACCATACTCGAGGGATCATTGCTGGAATTAACTCAATAAATTATCTAGCAAAAATCTAGATCCCAACTGATAGAGATAATGTATGACATGCACATTGTGTTGGTAATGAATGACATATGCCTGTTGGAGATACAGACTAAAAGTTTACTACAAAATTTTACAAGTAGTAATGTTATATACACAACAAAAATATTTACATATTACAAGTAGTTGATGAACAAATTGTTGTTTTTAAGATGGGAAATGTTGTAGGATGGCACCATCTACACGACTTCGACATTTCTTACTATATTTCCATACAACTTGAATGCACCTTGCTATACAACCTCTCCAATAAGGAGATGCATACGTCCAATATAAGATAACACATTGAATTTTTCAACAAAAAAAAAAAAAAAAAAAAAAAAAAAAAAAAAGATAATGCATTGACCATGTTTGTTAAAATAGTTAGTCTATTAATAAATTTTGGTTTATTTGATCACTATTAGATGTTTGACTTGGTTACGTAATCAATATGAGTGTTTGATTAATTAGTTTTTTGTAACAATTTTTTTTTTTTTGAATGCTACTAGCTCTATTACAATGTAGTATCTATTCATATACTTTCTCTTTCTCAACCTACTGAAACACAATTTTTTTTTTTTGAATGCTACTAGCTCTATTAGAATGTAGTATCTATTCATATACTTTCTCAACCTACTGAAACACAATTTTTAACAATTTTTATATACTTTCTCAACCTACTGAAACACAATTTTTTTTTGAATGCTACTAGCTCTATTACAATGTAGTATCTATTCATATACTTTCTCTTTCTCAACCTACTGAAACACAATTTTTTTTTTGAATGCTACTAGCTCTGAAACACAATTTTTTTTTGAATGCTACTATTCATATACTTTCTCAATTTTTTTTTTTGAATGCTACTAGCTCTATTACAATGTAGTATCTATTCATATACTTTCTCAACCTACTGAAACACAATGTTTTTTTTTTTTAATGCTACTAGCTCTATTAGAATGTAGTATCTATTCATATACTTTCTCAACCTACTGAAACACAAAGAACCAAAAGAACCAATAATGCCTCCACTGAGGCTCGAATTCATAACCTTCCAAATGAAAGTCTAACACAGGTACCATTAGACCATATAGTCTTGGTTTTGAAAAGCAGCTCAAAGTAACTTTTTGAGAAAGTCATTTTATATGTAATCAGCTAACAACTAATTTACTAAATATTTTTTTACAATCAGTTAATACTATCAACTAGTCAAATCCACTAACACAATCAGCTAACAGTCATTTACCAAACACCCCATTATATTTTAAGTAAATGGGATCATTAAAAAAATTAAGATTATATAGATGAAACAAGAGGAGTACGATTCTGACACTTTTTTTTTTTTTTTTTTAACAATCTGGCACCTTTATTAAACCTTAATAATATACTGTATACCATAAGATCAAGCTCATCCAGGAAACTAAGAGAGAGATTTAATGTTAATTATTTTGCTACGGTCAACTGAAAATTAAAGATGGAGGGCTGGAGGCAGGTTTCTTATTGTGACCAACTAAAGATGGCTGGAACTATATGATTTTGAAATTTGTTATAATGAGTGAATATAAACCTTATGGTATAAGCTGATCTAGAAATTATTATGAGCGAAGGTAAATTCAAATGAATTCAAAAATGTCAATTACTAAATATCAACTTTAAGTTCATATAAATTAACTTGAATAGTCAAATATCTTGTGGTTTGATGACATCATTATTTCCTTCCCATAAGGAAGGTCTTAAATTCGAGTCTCAGTTGTCATTCTCTAATTAAGAGAATAAGGTTAAAAATTGGTTGTATAATCTCTCTTGATTATTGGGTGGGTTAGCCTAGCGTGAAGTTGCTGCTATGGTCTCACCACTCCAACTTTATAGATGGTTTTCTTTTCTTTATAAGGGGGCTAGGAGAGGGGGCAAAGTATGTTTTCGTATGGTGCACACGGATGCAAGAACTATATTGTTTTGATTAAAAATGTGCGTCTAACTTATAAAAAAAAAAAAATCAATTTTGATTCTCGTGCATAATTTCTGAATGTATAGTTATTTTTTTAAAAGGACCCGCCAAATGTAAATCATGGTAACTCAACTGAACATGAACCACTTAGGCTAGACCGACCATTGCTCACTGTGCACAAGGAACCCCCCTCAATTTGAGAGATAGTTCCCACACTACCACTGGTGAGACTCGATCCCTGGTCATTCTTTCAAAGTTTCACCTCTGTAACCAGTTGAGCTGACCATGCGGGTTAGATTTATAATTATGAAATTATGGATGTGTAGTTATGCAATTCTGAATGTATAGTTATGAAGTTATGCAATTCTGGATTTATAGTTATGAAGTTATAGATGTGTAGTTATGCAATTCTGGATTTATAGTAATGAAGTTATGGATGTGTAGTTATTCAATTTTGGATGTATAGTTATGCAATTCTGGATGTATAGTGATGCAATTCTGGATGTATAGTTATGAAATTATGGATGTGTAGTTATGCAATTCTTGATGTATAGTGATGCAATTCTGGATGTATAGTTATGAAATTATGGATATGTAGTTATTAATTCTGAATTATTATTATTTTTAAGTCGACGTCAAAACGACGTTGTTTTTGTATCCGTGTGCACCATGCATGATACACACGAATGCACAGCATAACGACTCAGGAGAGGGAGTGAGGAGCCAATGCTGAAGAAACTCATTTTGATTGGATTATTACTAAATTTGTGTTTAAATACAATAATTCGAGTATCCATAATAAAATTCAGATGTTACTCCATCTAGACTACCTGATCTAACTTTCATTATATTCCTACTAAATTTTGTTGTGATGGATTGTTGGTGTCTGCTCGACTTAGACATTTCTTTCTATATCTCCATGCAACTTGAATGCAGCGTGCTGCCAGGGCTTGCCAATAAGGAGATTCATACCTGCACCACAAATTAAATATGATGATTAAGCTAGGGAAAGTAATTTCGATCAGATAGATAGATTAAAGAATACATGCAATATAATGCATACCTTATGGCACCCTGAACACGGGGGTTCCTCAAGAATCTTGTAAACAAAGAAATGACTTCTTCAAGATCTGCTTCTCGCAATATAAATACTTCAACGTTGCTTCGGCACCGTACAATCCTATTACTAAGTAGCACATGTCCTGGAATCTTGATCTTTATTCCATCTGGATGGGATGATATATATGATGAAAGAAGGAAACAGTACAATTTTAATTTATTATCAAAGTTAGTTTATTCCATCCAGACAACATGGCCACGTTTCCATCTTCTCCCATACTTTCCATCTTTCCTCGGATGATGAAAACCATCTTGTCAATAAGACCACCTGGGTAGAAAACTTTGCTTCCTTCTATATACGTTGTTAGTCTTAACCTTTCACAAATAGCATCTAAGACTAGCTCATCTACAAGTGCAAAAATGCGGACCTGCATGCATATATATATATATGCAAATATTCAACATATATATAGTAGTATAGTAGTAGCTAGCTAGCTAGTAAGAAAGTCATACAAGTTTGAAGATAGATAGATAGATAGATCAAAATAAAAGCAATATATATAATTGAATAGAAGATAATATATATAATTGGTTCACCTTCTTGATAAATTTAAAAAGATGCCTTCTAATATCTCTTTGTACGTCTTCAGGTAGGTTCTCCAACAACATTTCTTCATTCACCCCTCTGGTAGTTGCCCATGTATAGCGTTCAGCTAGTCGTACTCGCCTACAGTACCAAAACCAAAGGGATATATCGGATGAATTGAAGCATGTGCTCCACCTCAACAACTAAAAGCTCTTCTGATACCAAATTGAAACATGTGCTCAGTGTTCCATCTCAACTAAAAGCTTAAGCTAATAGTTGGATTGCACGAAGATTATATTATTGAAGAATGAGGAAGATGCATGCATGCATGCTATCATGTTTTGAAATAATGCATTCAATCAACAACAAACGTAACAGAACAAATTAAAGAAAAAGGCAGTGGTGGAAGAGCAGATTCACCCTCTGATTGATTCCATTGATTCCATTCTGGATCTGATGAGAATTTACTGTAATCATTGCCGTGCCCACAGTCAATGAATTCACTGCACCTTCCTAGTTCAGAAGTATGACAGGCATCACGAAGACATTGATTCATCCTCTGGATCGGATCAGTAGAAAAAACAAAAATAAGGACATTGAAGATATGATTTTAAAATACATTTTCCAATTATATATACTGCAGGCATATAAGTTCCAAGAGAGAATTTCAATGATTATGTAAACCTCAGCAAATCTAAAAATTATGTAAATTAGTTTCATACCTGTAAGCCAAAAAGATACCAACATGACCCCACCACATGGCTAGACAACATAAATGTTAGAAGATTTGTTACAAAGTTAGCCCATGCGGACTCGAAGTAGTCACCTGAAGTAGCATTTGTATTAAGTATATGAAATCAGTCAAGCTCCTCAAAATCACAATTGTGGTTGTCAAGGGCCAGTTCAGTACAATGCATTTCTTATCCTATAACAAAAGTAGTTATCCTATATTTAGAGAGATTTAATCCCAAATTACAAAGAGTGGAGGAATGAGGATATAGATAAGCTGGCTCCTTCAAACTTGAAAGAACTGGATCGAATGGCCTGCTGAGAGCTGACTGAAGAACAGCCAGCAGTTCAAATTATACTCCGTAGAATATATACACACCACTATGATATATTGATATAGTACGATTGGATGGTCACCAAAAACATTTGACTGATTTCAAAAAAAAAACAAAAACAAAAAACATTTGACTGAAGAATATATCCATGTTCATCGTTCAGAGGATCAGTAGCTTTTGACAAATCTATTGACGATTGGGTGTGGGGGAGTCTTTGAATACTATGGGGTCATTTACTTCATTTATCTGTTTTTCCATTTCCAGTTTTCCGTTTCTTTAATTTTTTTTCTTCATTCTTCCAGTTTTACATTTCTCCATTCCTATATAATAATAATAATAATAATAATAATAATAATAATAATAATAATAATAATAATACAAGAAGAAGAGGCGGAAGTATTAAACTTAAGTTAGTGGGAGGCGCCAGAAGTATAAAACAAACAAATTGCACTGGACTTCAACATCAACTACACTGTTCATCTAAACCTTTCCATTTCTCCAATTGGAGAAGTTGGTTTTTTCATTCTCCAAAATCCTTAAGAAAATTGGAGAATGGAAATGAAAAAAGTATTTGGAATAATACATTTAGTAAACAATTTCTCTAGTTTTTATTTTTTCACTCTCATTTTTTCATTTTTCTGAAAAAATCCTCCATTTTTTCAAGTTAGTAAACGACCCCTATATATTTTCATGGTCTGAGTTGTCTTCTGAATTTCTGGGACCAGTACAATACCTTTGAGAGTTGTTGAGTTGATCAAAGATTTCCATAATAAATACTACTCTGTATGTCAGACAGACAATACATTAAAAAGAGTATAACTTTGGCTATATATGAGTTAATTCCAGCAATGGTCCTTCGAGTTTGGTGATTTTTTACAATTAGTCCTGAACTGTTAATTTAAGAATAAAGTAAGAATTCGAATTACATTGTTTGGGAGGGATGAATATAATTATTATGAATAAGAATAGAATTAGTGATATAAAGACTAAAATGTCTTTGTATAATAACAATAATAACAATCAAGGGCAATTTAGGTTTTTTTTTTTTCTCTCATTCCAAGCTTCTACCGAATTGGAATTCCCATAGAAGATATATGAATTTCAATTCCTCAAATAGAAAGTGGAATTGCAATTTCCTCAAACCAAACACCGTAATTTAGAATGGCAAGGAATTAAGTTGTAAATGAATCCAACCAAACAACATGTTATATATTAGGTTAATGGCATATTGTACTAATCCAAACTTATCCGTTTTACACTTCTAAGAAGTAATTAGAAATTAATATGTGCATTTTGATTATCTTTATATTTAACAAATCTCCATGTGCCAAGGACATTGTAGTCCAATGGCACCAAGTTATTCCATCGAGTGGAAGATTGCGACATTAGCTCTTGTATTTCATTTAGTTAAAAAAATAGTTATGAACATATAATTCATTGTAATAGAGTGAGTAGTATTGAAATAAAAAACAAATCTCCATGCCATGTTCCAGTTTGGAATTTGCTCTTTCCAGTGTCAATCTCTAAGCTGGCTCTGAACGTGAAAATATTCCCACCTTTCAAATTTTCAATTGGCTCACACATGAGTATATAGGCTGGTAATTTTTTATTTTTATTTTAAAGGCCAATGTAATATCCTTTCACACGCACAGTAAGGTTAACACACGCAGACGGCACGTAGCCACGTACATATATAAAGTAATAAAACTTTGGCAGAAAATAGTACATTGAGCCATATTTGGGTGGGGAGTGTGTGAAATTTGTTATTTATACTTGAGTTAATTATTGAAATAGTCTATTGACTATAGCGAAATTATTAATTTGGTCCTAGATTATTATTTTTTATCCAATTAAGTTATTCAATTTTAAAAATTTTAATCAATTTGGTCTTTCGTTTGTTTGACCGTTAGTCATCCGTTAACTTTGGACCAAATTGATAATTCCGTTATAGTCAATGAACTATTTTGGCAATTAACTTTAGGGGTGGACAATTCGGTTTAGTTTTCTTGAACTGAACCATACCAAACCGAACCGAACTAATTTGGTTCAGTAATATACCGAACAACCGAACGGTATTGGATTCTTGTATACCGAACGGTTCGATAAAAAATCGATATGAACCGATCCGAATTGTTCGGTAAAAAATTGAACTAAACCAAATATTGTTTGATTTTTTTTAAAAAATATAATAATAATAATAATAATAATAATAATAATAATAATAATAATAATAATAAATAAATAAAAAGTAAATCCAAGTCCCTTAGTGCTTGCTCTTCCGTTCAGTTCATCCTCACGGTATCTCTCGTAAATGTTTTATTTGATTTCTTTATGGTTTGTTATCAAAAGTTCTATATTATGTGTTATGGTGTTTACATAGTCCATATCAAAAGTCTAATATATAACAAAATAGCAATCCAAAGTTCAAACGGTATTCAGTTCGGTTCGGTTTGTACCGAACAAATTCAGTTCGGTTCGAGTTTTTACCGAACCGTTCGGTATACAAGAATCTATTACCGTTCGGTTGTTCGATATATTAACGAATCTAACTAGTTTGGTACGGTTCGGTTCGAGAAAACTGAACCGAATTGCCCACCCTAAAGTTAATTACCAAAATGGTCCCTTGACTATAGAAAATTACTAATTTGGTCTCAAGTTAACGGTTGACTAACGGTCAAACAAACGGAGGACCAAATTGGTTAAGATTTTTAAAGTTGAGGAACTTAATTGGTCAAAAAAATAGTAAAAGACCAAATTGATAATTTCGCTATAGTCAGGAGACTATTTCGGTAATTGACTCTATAATTTATATTAATTGATTTTAATCCTCAATTCAACTTTAAAAAAAAAAAAAAAAAAAAAAAAAAAAAAAAAAAAAAAAAGAAACTTTTCGAAAAGCTGTCTAATAAATTGGCCATATTCCACTCACATTTCATTCCTAACAACATTTTTTTTTCTGTTGCATTAAATAAATAATTATTACGAAACTATATGGTACATGAACACTAAGGATGACAATGTAATAGATCAAGAAGCGCTATTTTACGTTTTTACCATATGTATTGGTTTAGAAATTCAAAAAATACTTAAAAAAAAAAAAGATTTTTGAAAGGCAATCAATGAAAAATACTAATTCTATTGAATGAAAAGAAAGAAAAAAAAGATAAACAAGAACCATTTTGATAATATATATATATATATATATATATATATATATATATATATATATGTATATATTCAAAAAAATTTACTCAAAAGTTAAATCCCGACCATTCTATCTAATTATTATTTAAACTGGATCAAGATATCCAATTAAAATTTGGATAATCATACCAAATAGGAAAAAGAATAAATTATCCGGCATGGTCCAAAGCCCAATTTTTTAAAATCAAGTTTTTTAAAAAATATATATATATATATATATATTATTTTAATCAAATTTTTATTTTTTTAAAAAAATTAGTACATAATTTTTTGGCAACTTATCTTGACTTTTACGACAAGATCTCCTATAGGCTATAGCGTTTCCAATAGGAGCTATGATGACTGATATGCAAAGATTAGTGAATCTAGAAAATGGAAACAATTTCCATTTTCTTTTTGGGAGAAGAAAATTGAAACAATTATCAAGAACTCTTAAATGGCACGATCCTGCTAACATCATCTGGAACAGAGCGCTATGTCCATTCTCAATGTTTAGAGAGACCATTTACCGAAAACAGATCTAAACTGTCATTGGTCTCTATCGTCGCACAAATATTATTGTTTTTGAAAACTGTGTTGGCAGTGGTTCGGTTGTAATACCGTGGACCATGGTTATCAAATGAAGCAGTAGTAATATATATTGTTAAATAGAACTGTAGTGTAATTAAAATGATGTTTTAATATTGTTAAAATGAAATTAGTGTGTGTAAAATGATACTCAAAATCAGAACCATACAATAATATATATTGTCAAATGAAAATGGAGTGTGATTAGTATGATGCTTTAACATTATTATAATTAAACTAGTATGTGTTGAAAATAAAATTACAACACAGAGCTCATACAATAATGTATATTGTCAAATGAAACTGTAGTAGAATTAAAATGATATTTTGGTAATGATATAATGAAATGAGTGAGTATCAAAAATAAAAGTGAAAAATAGAGCAATATTATCAAATAAAACTAAAGTGTAATTAGAATGATATTTATTTTATGGACTACACTACTACATAGACCATGGTCCACAGTAAAATTTGTTGCAGTCGTTAAAGTGGGCCGATAGGATAGGCTGTCAAAGCTTGCCATTTGCCGAGCCTAACAAGGGCAACCCCGCAAATTATGTTGTGGACTCGTGTGAGTCCAAAACGACGGCATTGCAGTTAAAAAAAAAATTGCTTTTGTCTCGCCGTTAACGACGTTATTCATTTGTGGAATTATGAATGTACAGTTATGGAATTATGAACACAGAGCTCTGACATTATGAACTTACAATTATGAACATATAGTGATAAAATTATGAACATAGAGCTCTAAAATTGTGAACATAGAGCTTCGAAAATTATGAATGTACAGTTATGGAATTATGAATGTACAGTTATGAAATTATGAACACAGAGCTCTGACATTATGAACTTACAATTATGAACATATAGTGATAAAATTATGAACATAGAGCTATAAAATTGTGAACATAGAGCTTTGAAAATTATGAATTACAGTTATTGAATTATGAATGTATAGTTACAGAATTATGAATGTACAGTTATGGAATTATGAAGTTACAATTATGAACATATAGTGATACAATTATGAACATATGCTCCTATAATGAAGAGCTCTGAAATTTTAAAAAAAAATTGTGGAAGATAACGGTGCCACTAACGGCACCATTACCGTGTCCACAATGTATGCTGGACACGGGTCCATAGCATAACGATTGGGGCAACCCTGCCCCCAGTTGTTATATGGACTAGATCTATCTTGTAAGTTGAATTTTAGTCTTTTAAGTGTATTTTTAGTATTAGAATTGTGAACATCTAGAATATAAATTGTGTTTCTAAATTTTAAGAATTTGTAAATACAATGCACGATCATTATAAATTGTGAATTTTAAAAGCTAAATTGTGTTTTTAAGTTTTGAGAATTTGTAAATGTTTGTTCACACAAGTGCCCCAACAGATGTAGCCATGAAGTAGTCAAGTAGGAGATATTTCTTCAAATTGCATTATCAAATCTAAACATTTTGTTTATTATATATTCCATAGAGTTAATTTCACCAGAGGTCCTTTGTTTTTGTAACAATTCAAAATTTAGTCTTAGACTATCATTTTTGCCATTTAACATCTCATACTATTATTTTTTGGACATTTTTAGTCCTTCTCATGACTTTTTATATTTTTAGTAAGGACATTTTTGTCTTTTCATATTTTTTTTTTGTTATTTTTTCGGTTTCAACCGGTTTAATTGGTTTAGAACTTTAGGTAACCTCTGATTTTTAGTAATCATATTTTTCAACCGATCTTTAGTAAATGCTTAAACCAATTAAACCGGTTAAAACTAGAAAAAAAATTACAAAAGAAAATTTTGAAGAGATAAAAATGCTCTTACTAAAAATATAAAAGAAAATTATAAGAATAACTAAAAGTATTCAAAAAATAATAGTCTGGGATGTCAAATGACAAAAACGATAGTTCAGGACTAAATTTAAAATTGCTACAAAAGACAAGGGACCTATGGTGGATTTAATTCTATTTCATACTATGGTTGATAATATGATGCATTAATACGTAGATAATACTTCTCCCAAACGTAGATAATACTTGAAATTTGTTAATAACTTCATGTTGAACATAGCTTGAACTTTTACTACTAAGAATAATTGATAAACGTTTAATTTAATGACTTTATACATATCTAAGTATACATATTTTATTATCGTATTTGAAATATGTACATTATTTAATAAAACATACAAGTTTACTTACCACCAATCCCCTCAAATCTTTGGAAATTAAATACTATTTATAATCTCATGAATATATATATATATATATATATATATATATATATATATATATATATATATATATATACTTTTATCACATGCATAATCTTATTAATTAAGTGAAAATTAATATAAAAAATTAAATGGTTATAAAATTAACTATTAATCAACGTACAACTGTACAAATACTAAATAGAAGTGTGGTAAAAGAGTACATCACGTACACCTAATCTTCAAACTTTGTCGTGAAATAGACCAATCTCCGAAGCCACACAAGACAATGGGGGTCCACTTCTTGAGTAGAACGTGATTGATTTAGGCATATTATCAACTTTTTTTTGTTTTTTTCTTTCAAACTTATGATTTATAAATGAATTATAATGTATTCCCAAATATTATTCCCTCAACTTTACTTTCTAATGTGACACTCTGATAAGTTATTTTTAATGTAAGTCTACTGACATCGGGTTGTTCCCTAAGTTGGAGGTGTAAGGTTCGAACCTCAGTTGAGGTAAATAATTTGTATATGTGGGGTATCACCTTCCTTATAATAATAAAAAAAAATGTAAGTCCTAATACAAATGTTTACATAAAGATTTTATGTGTAAATAAAAGTAGTTCTACTACGTGTATTTCCAAATTTTATTTAATGTGACAGATTCTGATAAGCTATTTTTTCATATAGATCCTTTTTTTTTTTTTTGAAAAATTTTCATATAGATCCTAATATAAGTATTTACATCAAAATTATGTGTGTGAAAATAAAAGTTGAGAATAAAAAATATGTGTAGACATAATATTTTCCTTTATAAATCCCCCAATTAATTGGTTTGTACTTCTTATCTCATATTTCTGAGGATAGCTTATCCTTGTTACATACTAGTATACTTTCTCAGCCATGGCGGGAGCTTTCTCAAATCCCATCTATGGAAAACCGGCAGCCATTCCGGCGAGAATCAGTTGCCGTTCATTGGTGGGTTTCAGGCCGAGGGCGGTGATGGTGGCGGAGAATCAGTCGTATTGGGCGTCTATAGAAGCCGACATCGAAGCCCACCTTAAGAAGGCCTTGCCAGTCCGGCCGCCGGCTTCCGTTTTCGAGCCGCTTAGGTACCTGGCGTTGGCGGCGCCGCGGACCACCGCGCCGGCGTTGTGCGTCGCGGCGTGCGAGTTATTCGGCGGCGACCGGGAGCAAGCCATGGACGCCGCGTCGGCTATTCATCTAATGCACGCCGCAACTCACGCCCACCGACACCTCCCGCTGTCGTCGGGCGTGGTCGGGGCGAAGGCCTCCGAGCCCGTTTACCACAAGTTCGGGCCGAACATCGAGCTCCTCACCGGCGACGCCCTCATCCCCTTCGGGCTCGAGCTGCTGGCCCGATCCATGGACTACCCGACCCGAATCAACCCGGACAAAATCGTGCGAGTCATCATCGAGATCACGCGCGCAACGGGTTCGCAAGGAGTGCTGGACGCCATAAACGGCGGCGAGAAGGTCACCGGCGGCGGAAAGAGAAGGGGTTTGCTTCACGCATGCGGAGCCGCTTGCGGGGGCATCATCGGAGGCGGAAGCGAAGAAGAGATAGAGAGATTAAGAAACTTCGGGCATTACGTTGAAATGATAAACGGAGTGGGAACGGAGGAGAAGATGAAGGAATGGAAGATTTCTGCCATGAAAGAGTTGGAAAGGTTGGAAGGAAGAGAGATTGGGCAAATTTCCAGTCTACTTGCACTTCACTTTTGCAGTGTTTAGTCACATTCTTTCACTGTCTGATGTTCGTTCAGTGGCATGCATTGTTTTTTTTTTTTTTTTTTTTTTTTTTTTTTAAATAAAGTTGTAATAATATGTATATTTGATAAAAATCTTAGGTATCTTATAATATCATAGCATTATTTTAATGGTATCTATCAATAGTATAAGTAATATGGAGTATAACTATGTTGTAATATTATAGATATTGACCTACTGTAGACTATCCCTAACATTTCATCCTCCTAAACAAACGTCCTGTATTGGTAGTTTGAATAAGGATTTAATTTTTTTTTTTTCAAATTTTTAATTGAGATAAGACTTGAACATGTGACATTTTATTTAAAAATATAACTGTGATGTTATCAAATCATAATTTACTTCACCGAAAATACATTTTTGTTGTCCCCTTATAAAAAGGAGCACGAGGTGAAATTCCATCTCATCATATGCAGTGTACAGTTCATTTTATAATAGTGAAGCACGAATTGGTACAGTGATTGGATATGGTGATGCTAATTTAATACTCCGTAGCTGCTTTTACTTTTCAAATTCTCTTGCAATTCACGTGTTTTTTTTCTTTCTTATTTATTTTTAAGTTATACTTGTTACAGTTCTCACAGATTTGTAATTCTAGTATCAGTACCTTATTCCCAAGGACGTTGCGGTCTAATGGCAGTTACTCTTTCATATGAAAGATTGTAGATGGAGCCTTAGTGAATGCGATATTGACTCTTTGTATTTCATAAGTTTGCTTCAGTAGGTTAAGAAAGTAATTATGAACAGATACTGACTTTTTATGCTTCAATAAGAGAGGGAATGTTGCAGACCTACCATTGTTGTGAAAGAAGGAGGAAGAAATATAGGTGAAAAGACAAGTTTGTCTTCAGACTTAACGCCCCTTTGACAACAAACTTAATAGAGGACCACGACTGATAATTTTTTTAAAACTTGGAGGACGTCTAGTGATTGATTTAAACTTGGAGGATCATAGCTGGTAAGACCCTAATACTCGAAGGACCATTAGAGGCATTAACTCTAATATTGTAAATTTATTTTTATGCATCACACATAGAAAATAAAACTAATATGGTCGATTTAAAATGAACAAGTAATTTTCTTTGTAATATTTTTTTTTTTCATTACAATAATATAAAATGTTGTTACTCTGCATAAATAATGCATAATCGATCTTATCATTTTTCATGACTAAAGACTGTACAACTCCATTATTTGTACCCAAAAAAAAAAAAAAAAAAAAAAAAAAACGAAACAAAAGGCTTGCCTATCACGGTTCCTTTCCTACATATACTTTGTACTATATTAACAAACAAAACGTTATGATTATGAACCTTGTGTGGTGTTCATGATTTGCACGTACGTGCAGTGGCACAATATAAAAATACAAATATCACATATGTTAAACAAGTGAACCACACACGTAAGTATTTGCACAACTAAAAGAAAGTTTAGGTTGTTGAAACATTATTTTTGGATGTGATGTCTCTTATTGATTTTAGAAAGAGTTAATTATCATTTTAGTCTCTATTAATATAATTTTTAGTTTTTAATTACTTTCAGATGTGATGTCTGGTATTGATTTTAGAAAGAATTAATTACCATTTTGGTTTGTCAATTATTTTTCATCTATTAATGTAATTTTTAGTTTTTAGTTTTCAATTTCAACCAATTTGATTCTCGAATTGTTTAAAATTTCATCATTATATATATATATATATATATATATATATATATATATATATATATATATATATGCAAGAAATGATTACAACTTCAACTACAACAAATTATATTCAAAATTAATAATTTAAATTGGTGTGGCTGAAAAGCCTGGCGTTGTGGAGAAAATGAGCTAACTTTAACCATTTTTACATTTCGTCGAAGACTCTTCCGGTGCCATACGTTCAAAGGCTCATTATCATCTATCACAATCTCGGCAACTAGTCTTTTGTCTACTTCAACATTTTTGGTTACTCTCTAATGGTTTAGTCATCAATTTAATATAGCATATGATTCTTCTCTCTCTCTCTCTCTCTCTCTCTCTCTCATACACACACACACAAGAACAAAATGAGCAATATTTAATAATGGAGTAGACGTTTTCATGAGCAATACATACATTCTTACTATGCGAGAGGCCTAAGATATTTCTCCATTGTTGTGTTACGTTGTACACGAAAATGATGTGAATGAAAGAATTGTATTTTTTGGATGATCGGATTCAGGTTGGGAGTTGTACTGTCGAGCTAGCTATGGCCAACTAGTCAGAAAATTTTGCGTTGAAACTCTTAAAGGTAAGAGAATTTAGGAAATAGAGAAGGAAGTAAAGGAAGGTGAATCCATGGATATCATTTGGATTGATGCGAGTAGAATGCTTCATGCAATTACTATAAGAACTTATCCAACACTGGAGAATCCGACTTTATAATATTATAATATCTTCCTTCAACATTTTTGTGTTCAACATTTTTGTGTAGCACAAATACTTACAAGTTACAATATATTTCATATTCAATTTTTAATATACACTTATCTGACTTATGTTTTGAGATAAACAAATAAATTTTTGGATTTACCATTACATCAACATTAGGTTTTAATAGATACTTTTATGTGAGGGACTAAAATGACATCAAATAATTAATCATCATTTAAATATATTATTCTCAATATGTCAAAATATATTTTTAAATATTCTGATTCAATAATTGTGTGATGAATCTATAGTAATGATTTTATCAGCATACAGTAATACCTTCGTGAACTTACAATAGCTACTGAATGAACATGTGATAGTAACTTTATGAACCTATCATAATACTTTAATGGATCTACAGTAACTACTTAATGAGTCTACAACATTGATTTTATGAATCTGCAACAATAATTTTATAAACTTGTAATTGTAATTTTATAAATCTATAATTTTTTTCAAAAAAAAAATATAATATGGGTGTTTTTTTAAAATCAAAATAGAAGCTTATAAATGATATTTTTTTTACAATGAATTTATTTGCATAAAAAGAAAACGTAGAAAAATAAATTTAGTGAATCAATGATATACCAATCCCAGAATTCCTTTCAAAAATTTTTTTAAAACATCCCAGAATTGTGAATATACTGATATTCATTCCTCCAAAAGGCTGTACCCTAACTCTAAGGGCCGCCTACACCTCGATCCGACAGAGCATGAATATACTGATATTCATTATTATGACGTTGATGGTTTCATTTTGAACTAATTTATTACGGAGTATATATTGTATAACTGTAATAAATATCTATATCATAATATATACTCCGTAATAAAATTATGGTGATGGCATTGTAATTTGTAATGAAAATAAAGCACACGCAATGCTGATTTGTATATTGGTCACGTGATACATGTATATACCACTTGGCGATACACAATAATTGTCGCACCATACAATAATGGTTGTTCGCGTGTCGCAATTGCCAAAACAACATTATAAATTCTTTTTCTCGCTATATATGTAATTACTGGATTGTTATACTGTGGACCATGGCGATGGTCCACCTTTTTAGTATAATTAATTAAATGTACAATTGTTTAAAAAAAAAATGTACAATTTAGTTTTTCTTAACACAAATAAAATCAATATGAATAAAAAAATCAATATATCATTAAAAACTCTAATTAAGATCTTTTAAATAACAGTTATATTGTTATTTTTATTTTAATATTTTAAATTAATAAAAAAAATATATTACATCACTTATGTTAATTTTCAATATAATTTTATTTATTTTTTAAAAAATTCCTAAAATCAATATAATATTAAATTCATTTTAACATAAGATTATATTACGTCACATTCTCGACTATTGTAACATTGTCACATTTAGTCTTATTCTTTTAAACTTTGTATTCAAAAAAAAAAAAAAGTTTGTGTACCGGCTCGCGGAGCCCGCCAACCCGCATGGGACGAGCTATGGTTGCATGAACCCTAGCCTGCGGGTTTGGTGGGCCGATTCGCAAAGGCAGCAAAAAATTAGGCCCGAAAAATTGTACATGCACACTCCTTGAAAAATGCCTTCCTCCAAAATAAAAGGGAAAGTCATTTCCCTCAAAACATACCTATTTTCTTTTGATTAAGGGATCAATTTTTATTGACCTCATTTTCCCCCTGCCAAACACTGAAAACTCGAAAAACATTTTCCATAAGTCATTTTTCAATTTTCGAAATGCACTCTTAGTACAAGACATGTTACTTTATAGACTAAGTCATAAAAAACATTAACAGAATGGTCATGTGTATACCAAAGTTTATGATATACCTAAATTACCTGAATACCATAAAGAACAACCACCCCATACAAAATTATTATAGTCGCACTAAATTTAATATGAACTCTTTTTTGACTAAATTTAATATTAACTCTTTTTTATAAACTTACGGTATTATTTTTATAAATTTAACTGATATAATTCGTGACAATAATTGGCAATTTATATCCTGCACCAGGACGCGTATTGCATTGTGCACCCTAATGCAAAACGACGCCGTTTCAGATTTTTTTTTTTAAAATTTCGCTATTTTGTGTTGGCGGTTAATTTTCTTTAAAAAAAAATCTCAGGTTCAAAAATGTACATAATTTTATACTAGAATACACATAATTGTATACATGAATGTACATAATTGTATAACAAAATACACATACTTTTTTTTTTAAAAAAAGATAATACATATAATCTAACATAATACATAATATACATAAACTTTTAACATAATAAAAATCAACTCTTAACATAATACTAATAAATTTCCTGTTTCGGATGTATATAATTGTATAAAAAAGATGTACATGATTGTATAAAAAATGTACATAATTGTATAAACAAATACACATAATTTATAACCAAAACGACGTTATTTTGGGAGGCGCAGGACGCACAGTGCTGCGCGGGGTGCACAGTGCTACGCGCACCGTGGTGCAGGGTATAAGGATTGACAATAATTTCGATGGGCTTTTACTATAGTTTCGACCAAATTTAACTTTTAAAGAATATGCCCCAGTCCTTCATCTGGCCATAGTTTATTTACCATATATGATTATATTCTATATCTTAAAGAGCATGCCCCCAGTATATATATAGATCAAATTTTTAACCAAACAGAAGAAGAAGAAGAAGAAGAAGAAAGCAACCAGACATTCTTAAAATAGGATTTCCATTAAAAATTAAAAAAAAAAAATAAAAAAAAAAATAAAAAAAACACCCCCATCTGGATTGCATGGGGACCAAATTTAACTTTTAACATTACTATTGAAATCAAAGGGTATAGTGTGGCATGTTATTCAAGAAAACCAGTTTTGGTCAATACTGCATTTCTCACTCTTTTTAGATCTCTACCCTTCAGGGTCCTCCCAACCCCTTCACACACTGAGAAAGATGATATTTGAGTCCTTGCAAGCTTCCTAGCAAGCCATTCATGTGGAGGCACCATCTGCCCCCCGCCGTCTATGTCTTCTTCATCGTCACTGTTCCAACCACTTCTAACGAATCCATCGCCTTCCTTGTCTTGATTATGACCATCTAGAAATCGTGGATTGTAGGAGGCCTGTGAAGTGGCACCATAGATTTTGGACCAATCGGGTATGTTAACAGGAGCAGAGTGTTGGGTCATTTTGGGTTCGTGATTAGGATTTTTGTTGGATCTCGGGATCATTTTGGTCAAAGATGGCAGGCGCTTTAGAGTAGAGGATGATGATGGCTCTTTAACCTTGGGAGGGAATTCATTCCTTTCATGGAAACCGCCCCAAACATCATCTTCTTGAAGTTCTTCGTACCTGATTGAGGTCCAACCACTGCTACCTTGGCTATATAACCCAATCCTTCTCTCGGGTATTGACATCTACCATAAACACAGGGCATTAATCAAGTCAACCCTACTACTCGAGCATCAGCATATATAGAAATGGTATTCGAATCTTTAATATCACACGAGATTTTCAAAAAGAAGAAAAGATCCCAACTCAAAGAAGTTAATCAACACTAACCAGGATCTAGCTTTCTAAGACGGGGATTCAAAAAGGCTCTGGCTTTTCACAGATTCTTGACTATATCTGCAAAACGAAAGGAGAAATGTTAATTAAGCTGGTAAATCATAAAGAGACAATGAAAGCTGGAAATGTTCAATTTTTCAGCATTTACACGATCCCGATCTCTTTTACCTTCAACCCTTTATGGGGTTTCTTCAATCTTCACAGTGTTCTCAGATAAGCACCAAAGAGGAGAAAACAATGGGCTAGCAAAGGGACAGGAAAGCCGGACTTTAGATCCTAGAAAAGTAGAAATCTCCTAAATAAATAATATATCTCTGTGTATTTGGCCTTTTTTCCTTTATAAAATTTCTGTGCATAACATTTCAAATAATAAAACCTGACGAGTTAGAACTTTAGACACTGCTACAGAAGTGGGGATGGCATTATATCCTCTAAACGGGATTCTGAAACAGTCGGTCACAGGACGGTTGGAAGAGTGGAAGTGGTATCTCTTTTGACGGAGAAGACAAACCACATATATTTAGACCTGAGAGCAAAAACTATTGAAATGGAAGCAACAAACTGACAAAGCAGATTTTATAATAGGACAGAACCCACGGTAGATTTTATAAATTTATTAAGAAAAAACACTGTTCAGGTTTCTCCGCTTTCATGGTTGCTTCATAGATTTGGAATTTTCTTTGGGAATATTTTATTTAAGGATTAAGCTTTTTATTAAAAAAAACCAATCAATGCCTAATTTAGTGCTGCTAAGTGCAATGCACATGTAATCTCGTCATTTTCTACAATATTATGTTTAACTTAATAACATTGTTCTAATCACACTTGGTTTTTTATTGATAAAATAATTAAGTTGTGCATCACCTCATGGTTACTTGTTTGAAACCCCAGATTTACTTGCCCCATTTTGCTTTGTCAGGACATCAGATAAGACCATCTTGAATTATATGCAAAATTATTTATTAAATAAGCTATAAATAGTTGGTTGGCATGAGAATATTATAAACCAGTAAATCCTTAAAGTGAACAAAAAGACATGTTGTAGTAAACAAGATAAGAAAAGAAGAAAAGTAAGCCTCAAGACTCAAGAGCCATCATTCAATGTATCGGCCTTACCCAGAATAGTGCTGAAACTCAGACGGGGGCCATGATGATGATGACAGCAATACATTTTGCAGGAATCAAGGATCGGCACACTTCAACTCTTGGTTTAACTTCACTGAAAGGAATGGAATCTTATTATTCATACGTTGGAGTTTTCTCCAGATAATAATAATAACACAAAAAAGTGATATAGATTCTTATGCTGAAGGTGACTTCTTTGGCTTCACTGTATAGAAGCCATGGTTGGTGGCCGTCAAGCATGGCTATCAAACAGGGCCTGTCCCACAAGTTGCAGCCGACTTATCTGATCTTTTGGTCACCTTATGCAAAGTTCAAGAAATCTAAGAAATAGTGAGATGTTTCTGCATATCACACAAGGGGTGTGAAAACATCTCTCAAACATTGTTTGGACTTGTTGGGTGTTTCCAAATGCTAGATCAACTAGGACCAAAAACTTGAACATATTTGTACAAGTTATAAGAAACTTCATATCAGCTCAATTTCACCTTCCACTTTACGAGGGCAAAACTACCTTCATATCACTACCAAAGTGAAGAATAATTCACAACTTATGAAGATTGTTCGCAATTACTTTGTATTTGATAAAGAAATCAAAACGAAGTACAATTCAGAATCTCTTTATCCAAACCCTCCACAAACATCTCACATGAATGACATGATTCAAACATCTAATAACGAGGATCCAAAACAAACGATTCTATGAAAGTGCATCCGCTCCAGCAACAATTTCCAATATCTCACCAGTGATCTTAGCCTGCCTCTGCCGATTATAAGCAACCGAAAGGCTTCTCTTCAACTCGATAGCATTCTCGGTAGCATTACTCATAGCATTCATCCTCGCTGCAAGCTCACTGGCAAATGACTCTTGAAGTGCCTTCAGAATCTGACTATTCAAGTAAAGAGGCATCAATGCATCAAGAATCTGAGCAGGATCTTGCTCGAACTGCAAATAAGGCGAAATCGGTACAGTTTTAGATTCCCTATGATCCCTCTCTACACTCAATTTCCCCTCCTTAGTACTCAACCTAAAGAACTCATCTCCCTCTACATCAATGCAGTTTCCATTCACATCTCGAATCTCGCCTTTTGCAGATAATGGGAGCAATGTGTGAATTACTGGTTGGGACTTAACCAAAGACACAAACTTTGTATACAAAAGCTCAACTTTATCAACCTCTTCACTCACAAACAACGAGAAAACATCATCTGCTATAACCTGAGCCTCCTTTGCGGTCGGAAAACTGCCTCCTTCGACAAAACTATCCACAGTTTTGTCGTCCCTTCGTCGGAAATAGGTATTCCCCTTTTTTCCGACGCTAATTATGGTGTAATCCAAGCCGAGATCCACCAATTCCTTTATACGATTCTCGGATTTTTTCAGAATAGCGTTGTTGAAACCTCCGCAGAGGCCTCTATCGCCCGTGACGACAACAAGGGCGATTTTCTTCACCGGCCGGACGGCGGTCAAAGGGACTTCCACATCGTCCGATTGGAGCTGCTCGTTGATGTTGTACAGAACCTCGACAAGGGCCTCGGCGAAGGGCCTGCCATTGATGACGGCCTCTTGAGCTTTCCGAATCTTTGCCGCGGCCACCAGTTTCATTGCTTCTGCGACTTTCTGGGTGTTCTTTACCGTCTCTATTCGATCTCGGATTTTGCGCAGATTGCAGCGGATGCAAGGAGAGAATGAATATTGGGGATTTCGGTTCACAGTGGGTTTAAAATTTGGAAATGAGGTAATCTGGGAAGAAGAAGAAGAAAGAGAAAGTGAATTGGAGTTGCGGAGAGAGGGTTTTGATAAGACCATAGATGTTAAGGCCGCCATAGATTGAATGAAAAGGGATGAGATTGTAATATTCCGGCGACTATCTGAGAATATTCCGGCGAGGCGGCTACACTTGAAGGTTTTAAAGTTATGAACAAGGAACTAAACGCGAGTCACGTGACAGAAATTAGATCGTATTTCGTTAATAGCTTAATCTACCATCTACATCTACAATTACATTATTATTACAAATTTAATAAAAGCGAATAATGTTAGGCCTTTAACTGGAACAAAAAAATGTAGGTACTAATTATTTTTTAAAATGAATAATTCATATTATTTCTACATCTACAATCTACATTTACAAATTTAATAAGAGCGAATAATGTGAGACCCTTAACTGGAACAAAAAAATGTCGGTACTAATTGTTTCTTAAAATGAATGATTCATATTATTTTGATTTTAGTATTTTTAATGATTTTCCTTATTTACCCTCTATTATATTATTTTCTTCCCTTAAATAACCCTAAATTCCGTTAGTTTAAACTTTAGTTAAAGAATATTCTTTTTTTTTTTTGAAAATAGTTAAAGAATATTCCGTTAACTATTTATTATTCTTAACATACTCTTAATTTATATAAGGTCTTAGGTTCGAACCCCATCCCAAGTATAGTTGGCATAATTGTTAAACATATATTATGAATTATGAATATTATATTTGTATAAAATACTTGATAAATAAATAAATAAATATGTTATTTATTTATTTATTTATTTATCAAGTATTTTATACAAATATAATAAATATTAATATTTTGTTCAATACTTTCACATGATTACCTACGACACACATCTCACAACACATGAAACATGTAGGGAAAAAACTACCACTACTAAATATCAATAGGTGTTTGTACGTTAAAGAGTTCATATTACAACTAAAATCTTAGTCATATACACAGCAAGGCAAATCTAAAACTTCCTACACTCTAATCTCATTGCATGATGAATCCCTCTATGCTTCTACCAGTAACCTAATTGCACATGACACAGTACCAATAAAAAAATAAAAAAAGAGAACATGTACTAAACTCTATGTTCATAATTACTGAACTTCATATTCATAATTATTGAACTCTATATTCACAATTACAGAACTCTATGTTCATAATTACTGAACTATATGTTCATAATTATAAAGGTATATATTCATAATTTTTTAACTTCATATTCACAATTATTGAATCTCTATATTCATAATTACAGAACTATATGTTCATAATTATGTTCACAACTCTATGTTCATAATTATAGAACTATATGTTTATAATTTTTGAACTATGTATTCATAATTATGGACAATTTTAGAACCGTGTCCACTTTGCAAGGTGGACACGGTTTCACAACATAATTTGCCCACTTTATTGCTCTTATTACTTAAATTAAAAAATAAAATAGTAACTACAAAAAAAAAAAAACAAAAAAAAAAAAAAAAACAAAAAAAAAAAAACAAACATACGCATTTAATTAATTTAGAATTAGATGTCTCACAACACATGAAACATGTAGGGGAAAACTACTACTACCAAATATCAACATGTGTTTGTAAGATAAATAGTTCATAGCACAACTAATATCCCAGTCATATACACAACAAAACAAATCTAAAACTTCTGATACTGCTAATCCTACGTAAGCAATATAAATAACACGAGACCAAATAAAGCAAGTAAAATCTTTATTGATCCCGGGAAAGGCCCTAAGTACAATCTACTTGGTTGTTCTGAGTACCGACTGACTGCGGTCGGGATTCTCTAACAACAACCTATCGATCGTCCAAAAGTCCCTTACACTGTAGCTACTGTGGGTACTTATAGCCGCTATGCCGGGGACAAGATTCCTGCCGCTCGGCATGTCTTCCACGTAGCCACCACGTGTCATCTTCCCGGGTGCCCTGTCTGTCGCCATGAAGAGCCGCCACGCGTCCTCCCGCGTCCTTGTACCAGCTCTTTCGTCGAAGGGCTACCGCTCGGTGGTTGACATCAGCGCTCGGGCAACTCCCGGCCATTCCCGACCGGGGTCTTCATGGAAAAAAGCCCGACCTGCCACCTGAAAAGATCATAAGAGAAAGACAAAGGCAAGTCGGTCGTGGTGGAGCTTATGTCGGTCGGGATATTCCCTACCAAAAGCCCCCCAGCCCGGGCCTTTTTGATCAGTCGGGAAAAAACGGGACGGGATGAAGAAGCCCAACCGTCAGGCATTAGACCGACCGGCCAGCTGTCATTCCCTCCTACGCCACGTGTCGGCCTCTGCCGGCCTCGGCGATCCCATCCGTCGCCTCGGATTCAGCGCGGGTCGTGTCAGGTAAGTTGGCCCATTTCCCGCCTAAATGCCCTCCTATAAATAGGCCCTTGAGGCCCTCATTTGAACTTTCCTCACTCTTTCGCATCAGTCGGTACCCTCAGAGAGTCCCGAGCAGAGCAGCTTAGCGAGGCAGTCGAGCAAGCAAACTTCAACTTTCAAGCTTCAAACTTCAATCTTCCTCCACTCGGTAAGCTCTTAACCCTCCTCTTTACTTTAGGTTCTCATTTATAGGTAGAACTGCTAGGTCAACTAACTGTCCCGGACGTCTCAAGTCCTTACTAACTCCGACCGACCTTTAGGTAGATCGATATGACGGACTCAGACAGTCAAAACGCCTCGATTGCTGATTACGACGAGGAGGTCGAGTACATCAGCGACGAGGAAGTGGACATTATGTCCTACACCCCGGACGCCAGTCCCCGAGCGACGCCAGCCCCCGAGCAAGCCGCCGAGCGAGACAACGCATCAAGCTCCACTGGATCGTCAAGCTCAAGCTCGAGCGGATCGGGGAGCTCCAGCGAAGAAGAGGAAGAGAGGACCACGTCAAGCGGGCGGGGTTCTCCAACCGAGGGCGTTAGGGAAACGCCCACCCAGGTGGTTGGGGACCACCCGGAAGCTGCTCCTCGAGGGGGTGATCGAGAAAATACCCCCGAGCAGACCGAAGAAGACCCGGCCGGGCCGGCCACACCAGCTGTCGAGCTCGAATTCTTGAACAGCGAGAGCGTTGAGCAAGAAATGAGCCTGCTGTCCAAAGGCGAGGCGGCTCGGATTGCCGAAATACTCCGGGGTCGGGCAGAATTCGACACGAGCCGGCAGCTGGGAAACGTGATTGAGAGGCATCGGGGCAAGTGGATCGGGATGCACTACGACTCCCTGATGGCCCCGATCGCCATTCCCTTCACCCCCCTCCTGAACGCCTTCTTGGCCTATTACCGGGTCGTCCCGGCCCAGATCTGTCCGAACGCACATCGGATCCTGGCCTGCTTCCCACAGATATGCGCTCGGCACGAGGCCGAGTGCACGATGGAGTTGTTTAACTTCATCTACCAGATCAAGGTTCTCCCGGGCCGCTACGGGGGTGGGTTCCTGATGCTGCAATCCCGAGCGGATATGTGCTCGATCAGAGGCTTGCCCGGGAACAACAAGGGGTGGAAAAACAGGATTTTCTCCATCAAGTACGACCCCTGGATCCTCCCGGTTGACCGCACTTGGAGCACCCACTTTCGAAAACAAGTGGTGCCGGACGCGACCCAGGCGCTCAAGGAAACGGTCTCCCGGATCTCGAGCGAGCTGCATGAATACACCATCTTTCGGACGGCCGAGAGTCTGGAAGCCGCCAAGCTCCCGCCCCCCACGTACGAGCTAAGGGAGAAGTACCTGCCCGTTCCGATGGGCGTGACGGTCGCCAAGCCGTCCAAACGAAAGAAGAAAGGTTTGCCACGAGCTACTTCTCTCGACCTGGCTTATTATCTCGATCTAAGCAACTTTCTTGTTTTGCAGCTATGGCCGAGTTCGGTGATGAAGACACCGCCCTTCCCCCACCCGTCAAGATCTCGCTCGGCGGGAAGAAGAAGGCCAAGACCAAGGCGGCCGGGGAGAAGGAGATCCCATCTGCCCGACCTCTGAGCGCCTCGACCGTGACGACGGGCGAGGGCTTCATCGTGGAGCAGCCGGACGTTCTAGTCACTCGGGTGGAGGTCGCCCGGGGCAAGGAGAAGGTCGCCGACCAGGGCGCGACCGAGGTGGGCAACCTGAAGCGCCGCCGTGAACAGCACAGCCCGACCCCTTCGGCCGGGCGGGAGAGGGGGCCTACATCCGTGCTGGCACGGATCGGCAATGCCGCGCCAGCCCGAGCGGACCTGGGGAAGATGACCCCAACTCAGGTTGCTGAGCGGATCGGCTACGATCTTGCTGAGGTAAGTCCCAACTTTTAATCTTTCTTTGCCCAAGTATCGTTGATCGGGCTAATCTTGAATATCCTCTTTGTATTGCAGATCTCCCGGGCGACCCAACTTCTTCAGGGTTAAGCTATGCTGGCCGAGGAGGCTGATCACCACAAGAAGACGGCCGCTCGTCGTCTGAAGGAGGTCAAAGAGCTCCAGGCCGAGCTGGAGAAAACGCAAAAGGCCCTGAAGAAGGGTGACGAGGAACGGGTGCTGGCCGAGAAGGTCGCCAGCCGGGCGATTGGGGAGGCCAAGGAGCTGAAGGCTCAGCTCGAGAGCCCGAGCGAGCTAGCGCGAGCAGCCTTCAAAGATAAGGACCTGGGCTCGGCCTTCCTCACTGAAGCCCGGGGGACAGCGATCGGTGAAGAGCTGATCGTTTCGTTCGGCCGCTGGGGTTTTACGGCCGGGAAGCGGAAGATGCTCGAACGAGTCCGCACCCGGTTGGAGCAAGCTTTGGATGGGGAGGACCTTCAGCTGGTCCTCTCGGTCTTGCCCCCAGACCTAGCCGATCCCGGTCCCTCTCCCTTCGCCCCGAAAGCCAAGGCGTCCGAGCCCGGGGCATCGTCGGCGGCCCCTTCGAGCGGGAAAGAAGCAGCTGCCGGAGCTCGGGAGGCGAAGAAGTAGACTAGGCTGTCTCCCCCTTTTGTAATGATGATCGATCGGGAGCCCGGTCCCGAATTGTACCGGGCACCTTTTGCTACTTAATAAAATTTTATTTTTGCTCTATCTCGTGCCGCTCGTCTTTTATTTCCTTGCCTTTCAATTTGCATACTGATCATAATCACTCGACCACTTGGCCTTTAGACCCGGTCTCGCGACACTCGATCCGCTCAACGCCCGATCTTACGACCTTATGG